GACGTTTATGGCGGGGTGGGAGGTTGAAGCAAATCGCCTGGCTGCTGGTTTCGCACAGCCAGACACCAGGGCGGTTAGAAGAGCACAGGAGGGCGCGGTGCGCATCAGAGAAGCTTTGAAAACCAGTTTCATGACTGGACAGGCTACGGTGTGAAAGTTCTGTTTGTTTCTCCTTGATGAACCCCCCCCCCCCCCCGCCCCTTGGTTCACTCTACTTCCCTGTAAGCTAACCACCCTCCCCTCCTCCCTTCGATCACCGCTTGCAGAGGCAATAAAGTCATTGTTGCTTCACATTCATGCATTCTTTATTCATTCATCACACAAATAGGGGGATAACTACCAAGGTAGCCCTGGAGGGGTGGTGGAGGAGAGAAGCACCAGGAGGGGTGGTGAAGGAGGGAAGGACAAGGCCACACTGCACTCTAAAACTTATTGAATGCCAGCCTTCTGTTGCTTGGGCAATCCTCTGGGGTGGAGTGGCCGGGTGGCCAGAGGCCCCCCCCACCATGTTCTTGGGCGTCTGGGTGAGGAGGCTATTGAACCTGGGGAGGAGGGCAGTTGGTTACACAGGGACTGTAGCGGCGGTCTGTGCTCCTGCTGCCTTTCCTGCAGCTCAACCATATGCTGGAGCATATTGGTTTGATCCTCCAGCAGCCTCAGCATTGAATCCTGCCTCCTCTCATCACGCTGCCGCCACCTTTCAGCTTCAGCCCTCTCTTCAGCCTGCCACTTACTCTCTTCAGCCCGCCACCTCTCCTCCCGGTCATTTTGTGCTTTCCTGCACTCTGACATTGTCTGCCTCCACGCATTCGTCTGCGCTCTGTCAGTGTGGGAGGACAGCACGAGCTCAGAGAACATTTCATCATGAGTGCGTTTTTTTCGCCTTCTAATCTTCTCTAGCCTCTGGGAAGGAAAAGATCCTGTGATCCTTGAAACACATGCAGCTGGCGGAGAAAAAAAAAAAAGAGACAGTGGTCTAGAAAATGTGTCTTTTTAAATAACAATGGCTACACTCTTTCACAGTAAACCTTGCTGTTAACATTACATACACAGCACATGTGCTTTCGTTCCAAGGTCGCATTTTGCCTCCCCCCACCACGTGGCTAGCCCCTCCCCCCTCCCCGTGGCTAACAGCGGGGAACATTTCTGTTCAGCCGTAGGCAAACAGCCCAGCAGGAACGGGCACCTCTGAATGTCCCCTTAAGAAAAGCACCCTATTTCAACCAGGTGACCATGAATGATATCACTCTCCTGAGGATAACACAGAGAGATAAAGAACGGCTGTTGTTTGAACGCCAGCAAACGTACACTGCAATGCTTTGTTCTACAATGATTCCCGAGTACGTGCTACTGGCCTGGAGTGGTAAAGTGTCCTACCATGGTGGACGCAATAAGGCTGCCCTCCCCAGAAACCTTTTGCAAAGGCTTTGGGAGTACATCAAGGAGAGCCGCAAATGCCAGGGCAAATTAATCCTTTCACATGCTTGCTTTTAAACCATGTATAGTATTTTAAAAGGTACACTCACCAGAGGTCCCTTCTTCGCCTGGTGGGTCTGGGAGGCAGCCTTGGGTGGGTTCAGGGGGTACTGGCTCCAGGTCCAGAGTGAGAAACAGTTCCTGGCTGTCGGGAAAACCGGTTTCTCCGCTTGCTTTCTGTGAGCTATCTACAACTTCTTCATCATCATCTTCCTCGTCCCAAAAACCTGCTTCTGTGTTGCCTCCATCTCCATTGAAGGAGTCAAACAACACGGCTGGGGTAGTGGTGGCTGAACCCCCTAAAATGGCATGCAGCTCATCATAGAAGCGGCATGTTTGGGGCTCTGACCCGGAGCGGCCGTTTGCCTCTCTGGTTTTCTGATAGGCTTGCCTCAGCTCCTTAAGTTTCACACTGCATTGCTTCAGGTCCCTCTTATGGCCTCTGTCCTTCATGCCCTGGGAGATTTTGACAAATGTTTTGGCATTTCGAAAACTGGAACGGAGTTCTGATAGCACGGATTCCTCTCCCCATACAGCCATCAGATCCCATACCTCCCGTTCGGTCCATGCTGGAGCTCTTTTGTGATTCTGGGACTCCATCATGGTCACCTCTGCTGATGAGCTCTGCATGGTCACCTCTGCTGATGAGCTCTGGCCAGCATGGCAAGCTGGAGGTGACCATGCAAACCGGAAATTGAAATTCAAAAGTTTGCGGGCCTTTTCCTGTCTACCTGACCAGTGCATCTGAGTTGAGAGTGCTGTCCAGAGCGGTCACAATAGAGCAGTCTGGGATAGCTCCCGGAGGCCAATACCATCTAATTGCGTCCACAGTACCCCAAATTCGACCTAGCAAGGCCGATTTAAGCGCTAATCCACTTGTCAGGGGTGGAGTAAGGAAATCGATTTTAAGAGCCCTTTAAGTCGAAAAAAAGGGCTTCATCGTGTGGACGGGTGCAGGTTTACATGGATTTAACGCTGCTAAATTCGACCTAAACTCCTAGTGTAGACCAGGGCTCAAGAAGTTTCTCTCACCCCTCAAAGTCCTCTGCAGCATTTGAGCCAAGGTTGGCTGAGGTCCCATTTTCATGAATGTTAAATGCACTGTCTATCTCCTAGGTGCAGGATAAAGGGTGTGTCGTCTTTGCCTTCTACTTATATCCCCAAAGTGCACACTCTACTCAGATGGGATAACCACTCATGGCTTAATTTTCCTGGTTACTGCTGCTGACTTCACATTTATCTGTTGATTTCATATGTGAATGGAACAGGAGTACTTGTGGCACCTTAGAGACTAACAAATTTTTGCGGATACAGACTAACACGGCTGCTATTCTGAAACATATGTAAATGGGCATCCATTGTGTTTGCTTACAATGCTTAACTAACATCCAGACTGAGAGACAGGTGAATAATCATCTCTCGTCTGACAGAAAGTCTATTTCTCCACCTCTGCTGTGATATAGAATCTACAAACATATTTTGAATACCTAAACATATATTTGCAATGCTAGTAATGACCAGTGTGACCCCAGCTTTAATTTAAAACTTCACACAACATTCTTTGGTGAACCAGAATGCACATACCAGTGTCTGGATATTCCTGTAACCCAGTTGGCATTAAGGGGTTCTTGACTCACAGCAGGCTCTGCAAGGACCCCACCCTCCCAGTGGAATCACTGTCACATCTCCTTAGCCACACTCCTGAAGAGGCAGCCTCTGACACAGTAGAATGGACTTTCAGTGTTTCTCAAATGTGGCCACCAGGGGCTTTTCTTGCGGCTACAGCCTCTTGGGTGGCTTGGGGTGGGGGGGAAGCAGTGGCCCCTCTCTGGGGACACACAAGCTGGAGGAGCAGGCAACCAGTGAGTTTCCCACCTTCCCAGGGTTGCGGTGGGGTTGGGCTTCAGCCCTGGGGTTGCACATAGCAGGCTCCAGCCAGAGGGCTTTGGGCTTCATTCCTTGAGCTCACCACCCCTCCCATCACATCTGGCCCCTGCTGCCTCCCCTAGTGCCCCATTGCCCCTGGCTCCCACTGCCTCCTTACCCACCTCCCCATCCAGGGCTCAGTTTGTCCCCGGGATTGCCAGGGCTGAGTAAATCTGCTGTGAAAAGTGATATTTGTGTGTTTGCTAATATCACTTTTCACAGCAGACTTAGTAGCTAGCAAGTCTAAAAAAAAAAAAAAAGCAACCAAAAATACAAAAGAAACTAAGAAAAAAGACAAGAACATGCAAAGCACCTTATTTGTATTTTTATTCCGCTTAGGTCCAGTAAAGAATAAAGACAACTGTCTATTATGTTTATTATTGAGTCTACAAAAAAAAATCCTACATAAATAAATTACAATGATTTGGACATGTATATGTGCATATTCATTTGTGTTTCCTAAAGTATTTTAGGAAACACTGTCAGAGCGGCCACCAGCAAGAGTTAGTGGCCGCTCTGTGAGGCCATCAAAAATTTTGTTGTGAGAACCCCTGGACTAGATCCTTTAATGAACAGAAAAAGCCTAACCAGACAGACTGTTCCTCATTGGCTGTGGCACTGTCATCAGATTACATAGGCTAAACGGGGTCAGAGTTTGGATGGAAGACCTTTAAATGAAAACCTGTGTACAGCAGGAAGACCTGAAGCACCACAGGGCACACTTTTCCGAGTCAGTATTGTGTTAGTGCTCGAATACCGTGCTGCCGTCTTTGAGATAAAACCAAGGCCCTTATTGCTTGGCTGTTATATCGAGAAAGCATTTTTGTTAGAGTAGAGAGTATTGAGGATCTGTCTAGGACATTAGGGCTAACAAGAATAATTGGTTTCAGAGTAGCTGCCGTGTTAGTCTGTATCCGCAAAAAGAAAAGGAGTACTTGTAACACCTTAAAGACAAACAAATTTATTTGAGGATAAGGTTTTGTGAGCTACAGTTCACTTCATCTTCTACACTTTCCACAGTATGCATCTGATGAAGTGAGCTGTAGCTCACGAAAGCTTATGCTCAAATAAATCGGTTAGTCTCTAAGGTGCCACAAGTACTCCTTTTCTTTTAGCTCACTTCATCGGATGCAATTTTAATAATTGCATTCTTTTAACCTAAAATTCCCATGTAGTTTCTTTTATGTCAGATTTTTTATTGATGTCTTGATCTGTTTGGATCTGTACACTGCAGTGTAATGTTAAATAGCTGCTACATTCCACATCAGTGGCAGATGAAGTAATGCTGGCATATAGTATACGGAGCCCATGCTTCCAAGACACTGAGTGTCCTCACTAGGGCTCTGTAATTCCATCCCTCAGCTCATTTATTTCCCCCCACAGCCTGGTTACTATACAAAGAAAAACACAGCTTTACACAACTCCAGTCAAAAGGTGCACCAATGTTTGGAATGGAGCATGTAATTAAGCAAAGGAAAACAGAAGCTGAATATCTGCAAAAAAAAGTTATGAGTGGCTAGAGCTGTTAGGCTGTGGTAGCCCTGATGTTGGGGGTCATTTAAAACTGTCTCTCTGATTCAATCGATCTCAATACACAGTCCGAATTCAAAACCTGTTTATTTACCATTACTAGCTTAAAATACAAATGTTAACAATTAAATGCACAATAATATACTGTTTTTATATAAAATAAAGGCCATGCAAAACTGCCTTCTTAAAAAAATACAATATCTACTTAAAGTACTTAAACACTTCAAGGTAACTAGAGAGAAACATACTGCAAGTTGTTTTTAGTGTTCTTTGTTAAATTGTACAGATTTTACAAGTGAATTTGGTGCTGGCGAAAGATGCTAGATTAGCAGCGCTGGAGACTCATCTCCACTTAATCCACAGACCAAATACACCATAGGTGCAAGCTTCCGACCATCACCTCCCGTTACTCGTCTGGAGATGCCACCTGTATGGGTGAGCAGGCAGGTCAATCTCCATGGCTATTTGAACCTTTGGCCTCTCTACTAAAACATCACAAAAAACACGTCAATTGGCTGGGAACAAGTATGCCACTGGGAAATAGTCTGCAACCCTAAATTCACATGAGTCCACCAGATGACGTATTTTGGTTACTATCAGCCCTGTCTCAATTTGAACCAAATGGTAAACATCATAGTGGTTGGATTTTTTTTAACAACAAAGTGTAGGTAAATAAAGCTATAAAGCAAACAGGTCTGGAGATGAAAACCCTTCCTCAGAAGAGTACAATGACTTCAATTATTACTTTGGCAGGATCAGACCCAATCTTTGGCAGAGCTCGTGAAAAACATACCAGAACCACCAGCCTCCCTCTATTACTGAAATGTTATCAAACATTTTCTTCCCATATATGACAGAAAGAGCTTTTCATATTGTACCAAAGATTTATTGCAAAAGACAGCATCTTGAATAACTTCAGAGGGACAGCTATCAAACTTTAAAATATTCAATCCTCTTTTGCTAGAAATTCTGTTCTGTTCAGAGATTTTCACTGTTTAAGAATAATGAAAAGGGGTGGGGGGGGGGTAAAAGAATAAGCAGCCCTAACCTAAATGATTGGGAGAAAAAAGTTTGGCTAAAAGCTATGTCTCAAATTTTTGCAGGGGAGACTGTGCTGGCAGGCAATGACGTGTCTCCCTTGCCCTGTAATGATCTGTGCCTGAAGATGCAAAGGCAGAATGGTCCATTAACCAACTCAACTGCAATATCAGGGAACAGAAGTCCTCACCTTCTGCCTAGGGAGCAGTTCAAGGGCACAGCCAGCTGGACTGATAAGCAGGTTTGATATTCTATCCAATAGAAGGCAGTGGTGCACACACACACTAGCTAACTGATCCCCCGCCTAAAGGAGCTCTTGCCTTTGCTCAGCCAGCAAAGAAAACTAACTACACATGAGCAGATCTTTGCACAGACCCAAATATGATTTTTTTTTAAAGACACCAGGTGCCAATACCTAATATGAAACTGAGGTGGGAAAGGGATGAGGAAAACCCTAAATCAGTGCATCTAAAGTCATGCTGCACCCCATAACCAAATGAAGTCTCAAAAACATTTGTAGGGGAAGCACAAATATCACTCAATGTTTTAGTTTCTGATCATTAATAAACAAAATTATCCCAAACACAGACACTGGTATCCTGCCCCTGGTTCACAGGACTTAGGGATATAAAGACCAAAAAAATCATTAGAAAAACACTGGATGCTTGAAGAGAACACTGTGGGTCACACTCCAAAAATAACTATTTAGCACACATACTAGCTATGAAGCCAGATAGCATGAAAACTATGTAATGGGATAGGCAAAATAAAAATATTAAAATAAAGCTTTTAGGAGTATTAGTAACACTACTTAGTCTTATTAAGATGAGAAGAATCTTAAAAATAAAACTGACTTAAATCAATTATACTATTCCAATTTCAGCTCCAACAGCAAAACAGGCTGGATTACTTATTTTCTCTTTCAGTCATTTTCACTTCATGGTTCTCAGGCACCAGCAAAGTGCTGGTGTCTCTGGGTTTCCAACAGTGACAGGGAAGGCTTAACCTTCCAAATACAGCTGGTTTTTATTGACTTTAAAAAGTCTCAAAAATATTTCTCTCCACATTAACTTTTATAAACACTTTCTGCATCCCCAACCCCAACCAAAAAACCCCAGGACAAAACAGAACTTGGAGCCTGCACTAGTTGGCAGCGTCCCCTTTAACTCATGAATGCAGTAGATATGATACAGGTAAAGGGGTGGGGATTTCAGCCAAAGAACGTTATAAAGAAACCGAAATGGAGCAGTGAATAAGAGATACACAGATTATGTTGTTCACAGATCAAAGTTGCGCCATTTGAGATTTACAACAGGGTGCTAGGCACCCAAAGCATTGGAAGTTGGGGGCGTGACTCCCTTTGTGCTTTTGGAAGCTTCTCCTGCACATTGTGAAGAACAAGGCTGAATGCTTCAACCAGCCAAGAAGTGCCCCAGTAGCCTATTAGTGCACAAGCCAGAGACGCTCATTGCTGTCACGGTATGGTTCATTAATGGTACATGTAATTAAAAACATTGTTAAAAACATTCTTTGGCTGGTAGCAGGGGTCTGCACACCATGTTCTGCTCTGAAACAAAGTTCTTAGTAAGAGGATAAAAGGAAGGAGTAGGAAAATTATAAATACTCTCTCTACATAATATTTGCCACCAGCTTTTTACACAGTCCCTGGGCTATTTGTCCATGTATCTTTATCCCCGCCGAAGCCCAACTACCTTTTTAACAGCAATTTGTGGCCTAGCAGCCTCTCTCTCAACTCATTTTCATTTATAGACCCTATGGACTTGATTCACAACAGCGTCAGTGACACACTGGTGAGTCTCTCTTAACCCCAAATGCCTCTCTTCATGCCCTTCCCCCTCTACCCCATCCCTACAGAGTGCACGATTATCTCTGTCCCTCCTCCACTGATTTTCTCCTCCCCTTCTGCGTTGTATGTGTGTGTTCCAGTGATGAGACCCCACTTTTGGGAGTTGGGGCTCAGCTACAGTATCATCAGAAAGACCCAGCCAAAATTTGGGTCTGGACAATTAGTGTCCTCAGCCATACCCTAAGAACTGTGACCATGTACCACATACAACACTTTGCACAATCAACACACTGTACTGAGGTTAACAACAGAAGCCTTTGGGAGGTAAAGAAGTATTATTATCCCCATTTTACAGAAGGAGAGTCTGAGGTTAATTGACTTGGCCAGGGCGCCACAGCACATCAGTGCTAGAGCAAGATTAGAATTTGGGAGTTCTGGTCTCCTGACCTTTGGTTCAGTCCAGAATTTGCTGCCTCTCTGGGAGTCTTGCTTCCAAGCTCACATTCAGAGAGGGGAAAATATGAGTTTGTGGGGGTCTCTGCAAGTGTGTCTGATGGGTTTAGCAGGGTTTGGTTTGAGTTTTTTTGTGAAAGGTGGTGCGCACCCAAGTATCACCATGCCCCTACCTCACACTGCATCCTCTTACCCACCATAAATACTACAGCACCTAAAATACACTTGTAAATATGCTAATTCTATAATATGCAACGAGATGGGCAGTGACAGATCCCTGCACTCCTCACCTCTGTCAAGAATTTACTAGGGGAGGAACGGTTGGTACCACAGACTTGTGTAAATAATTATTGGTTATTGAGTCACACCTGCCCTCATGCTTGATACAACCATATGATCCAGAATCCTTTGGTGGCCTTTTATGTTTCTTCTCTTTAGCCAACCCATACTATAATTCATTATTGGATATATTGTATAAGAATCTGATCCTAGTTTTGAAGGCTGGGGAGTCCTATATCCATAAATCTGAGCCCATTCAAATCAGATAGACTGAGACTAAGGCAAAGCACCATCAGGGATTGATTAAGGTGAAATATGGCCCATGGACCAGCCAAAACAATGCAGCCCCAAATCTGCTTGAGTCCAGGCCAGTGAGAGGTGTGAGAGCTACACACCTTCAGGTGCTCTTCAGAGCAAAGGGCCCAGTTCAGCCACTCTGTTCAATCCAGTCTTAATTCACCATTGATTACTCTGGGGCTCAGAAGGAATGTGAGTGTGACATAAGAAGCCATTTTCTAAAAGTTACCAGGCAATAGATGCTCCTTACCTCTAACCTAAGCAAACATTCAGTTGCTGACGATAAATCAGAACAGATTACTCAAAGAAAGCGTAACAATAAAACACACCACTCCATCCAGTCCAGATTGGTAGGGAATAAAAACAGCCACCTGAACGGAAGCAGAGTGATGCCCATTTTGTGTATGCAAGTCTGGTCACACACACCCCACTCCACAATCTCCATCCCAGATTCAAAATCTACAGTTTCTGACACTTTACAGCCCTGCTGCAATATTCCACAGGGGAACATACACTGTCTGAGGGCTCAAAGGTGAAAACGAGGTCTTGGGAAGACTGGTGTCTCTCCTAGATCCCAACCTCACTCACCCACCCAACATGCAATGATTCCAGAAAGGAAGGAGAGAAAACATTGTCACTTATTTGGCTATTCTCCTGGATGGGAGAGGGGTCACCAAGTACAGCAACGATAATGTCGAAATGGGCTTGGTGTCACTCCATGCCTTGCCTTCCCCAGTTCACAGTTCCCCACTCCTCTGGCTCTCCAGCCACTCCCTCCTTATCTCTGCAATCTCCTGACCGTACCAGTTGTGTAGCTTGGAGAAACAGGCTGTCTCCGGAGACATGGGGCTTTCCTGCCCAGTCAAAGAGAGGCCAGTGACGAGTGCTCCGCATCCACTGCCAGCTGCCAAGCGCCGGCGAGGAGGCAGAGGCGGGGGTTTGGAACACCCCCCATCGTGGTCAGCACAGGAGGCCCCTGCAGGGAGGTAACCACTGCCCCATGTAGAGTAACCGTTCTCCAAGACGGGAGGCTGCTCCTGGACGAGCGCCATAGCAGGATTGGACAAATGCCTTTTTCTGCCAGATGATGACTTCCTTGGAGATTTGTAGCAGGCAGCCAAGCTCTTACGGGCATCCTCCAGTTGCTTTTCCAGCTCTCTCACCACCAAACGCATGTAATCAAAGCTGGCTCGCGAAAGCGCCTTCACCCATCCCTCCATGGCGGCCTGACAGTCAGCCACCAGCACGTAGGCCTTGGCACCAGCGTCATCAAAGCGGATGGCAAAGGCAAACTCCTCGGCAGCCTCGCACAGTTCCACGGTGCAGCCCTCCAGCACAACAAGCCCCAGGGGGTCCCGGCTCTCACGATCTTCAAAATAGAACAGCAGGTTGCCCTTGAGGATGAACCAGCGACGGTGGTAGGAGGTGGCGTGGTGGTGGTGGTGGTGCCGCTCGACACGCTTGTGGAGGAAGCCAGCATGATCTGCCGGAGAGTCACATGTGGCATAATGCGCCACGCTTCGCTCGTTCAGCTTCATTGTCCTGGCAGGACAAAGACAGAGGAAGGGAGTCAGTTCAGTGCAGGGAACTACTTGTTCGAATTATACCCGATAGGTCACGTGCACTTCGAGTCTAGGCTGAGGCACAGGAACAAAGTCCACAACTGCAGAGTTCCCAAAGATATTAAGTTTATTACACTCGAGCGTGGTGCCCCACTGCTAGTCAGAAGGGGACCCCGAATGCAGGTTATACAAAGATTATATACCTTTTAGCAAAGCATGTTGCCCTTGTGCATCGGTAACCTTAGTCAATAGGCAAACCCTTTCCTTATCTACCACCTATCCCTTCTAGGTACATTCCCCTTGCTAAACTATTACTGCCCTAAAGCAATGCATCATTAACTTTTCTTATCAGGATGGGAGGCCCACATCAAAAGGCCAGGGGGCAGAGAGTTAGGAACAGACAAAGAACAGAAACCGGGAGTCGAGACAGGCTGGAGACAAGGGGGGGGTTTCACAGGAATGCAGTATCTAAGGAACACTGCTCCTGGTGCATGATGTGCTTGCTTTTAGACAATGGTGGCCCCCAGACCAAAATGGAGTCACAGATGCTAACTTGTCCTTAACAGTCCCCCCTTTTCTTTTGTATGTCAGTAAGCTATATCGGGGCTGAGTAACCGCGATGCAGGGTTAGCAGTTGCCGACAGCACATTACTACAACACTGTAGGCATACAAAAAAATAACACAAAAGCAATAACAGCCAAAAGGATTCAAAACAAAATAAGCCGTCCCCAAGCCCCCACATCCGGTAGCCATGAGGTGAGCCAGTTCCAGACCTCCTGGAATCCAGCGCTGGTATTGTCGAGGCTGACATGGTGGAATAGGACTGCCTGCTGCATGAGGATGTGGATGTCAGTTTCCACCCTGTGCTGCTGATTCACATATACACAACAGCATGAGTTAACCAGCGCACAAACCCCGCCCTGGTTTGCAAGGAGATAGTCCAGGGCTAGGCGGTTTTGCAATGTAGTTTGGGATAGCTGAGTTACTTCAATTTGAAGGGCAAATAAGGAGTCTGCAGTAGCATTTGCCATGAATTCCAAAGCAGCTGAAATGTTAACTATAGCTTTTTCTAGCTCGCTTACTCCTAACCATGGCAGAAACCAATGCACAAAGGAGTGAAAGCCTGTGGGCCGTTGTGAAAGAGGGTTTAAAGGAATACTTCGTCGGTCCCTCCATACTAGATTGCGGATCTCTCCCTGGGTCAGGGTTTGGTGTACTGTCACGGCGGGTACTATAGCCCCTAAGGTACATGTACCACACCATCCTGCCGGGAGAACCTTATAGGCTGTGTGATTGCATAACCAATACCAGCCAGACCCCTCAGGGACTGACCACGGGGCACCGGAGTAGGTGGAGGGGCCTGCCGCACCAGAGCTGATCTGGGTGGTGTCCTTGCACCCCACAAAATTCCCCACAAAAACTGTATTTTCTATGCCCTTACGTCGTGACACACATAAAGCATAATTACGCTGGGCCACCATATCAATAGACCATATTTGGATCGTAACATTCCACTTAAATGTAGAGTTTGCCCATAGCTTAGCTTGGAGTGTTCGATTAAGAGGGATAGGTACCCCTACCAACGGGACCCCCTGACCCAAATATGTGGGGGTATGAATACAAATCCAACACTGCGTTCAATTCACACCCTGTTTAAATTCAAGAAGCTATTGCCCTCCCATCCTTGTACTGGACTTGGGAATAGGGAGAGGACTGGGGGTGGTAAGGGGTGTGGAGTTGTCATGCAATCCCCAGGCACCGGTACAGCTCCTCTAAAATCTTTGCAGTGAAGTGCGATCCTCGGTCTGAGTCGATGACTTCAGGGACTCCAAATCTGGGCACAATGTCTTTCAGTAGAAATTTTACCACAGATCTGGCATCTGCTTTTCTGGTTGGTCCTGCTTCAGGCCATCCGGAAAGTTGATCCACTATTACAAGGAGGTTGCAAAACCCCGAGCTTTTAGGCATTTCTGCATAGTCCATCTGTAATCGCTGAAACGGAAGTTAGCCCAAGGTCTCCCCCCCACTTAGTGTTGGCATCAAGCCGAGACTGAAGCAGAGAAGGCCAGGCAAGTAGAGCAGGAGCCAAGAGCTCGCTTCACTGTCGGATAGATATGAGGCGCTGCCCAACATTTGAGAATAGCAGCTGCAGTGGCCTGAATGCCGGCATGACCCAAAGAATGAAAATAGTGGGCGGCTGAGAGCAGATAGTGACGGGCGAGAATAGGTTTGTTCCCGATTTGCCAAACCTTATTGACACCTTCAGAGCCTTCCCAACATTTCCAGTCCTGGAGCTCGTCAGGTGGCACATCAGCATACAAGTGCGTCCAGTCCGTCGGCTGGAAGGACGTATCCAGAAGAAGAGTTGCTGACACCAGGAGAGGCTGAAGGGCAGCAGTCTTTGCGGCCGCATCAGCCAAGGCATTACCTTCAGAGACAGGATTCTCAGACTGCTGGTGAGCATAACAGTGGACAACAGCCAGTTCGAGAGGACCTTGAATGGCGTCCAAAAGTGCAGAGATTAAAGGGCCGTTTGCAATCTTAGTGCCTGAGGAGGTTAGAAACCCTCGCTGTTTCCAGAGCTGGCCCGTAGCATGGCAAACCCCAAAGGCATATCTAGAGTCTGTATAAATGGTAACAGATTTCCCATCAGACAGCAAGCAAGCCCTAGTAAGAGCGTGCAATTCCGCGCCCTATGCACTACAGGAAGGTGGAAGGGGGGCTGCTTCTACAACGGTTGTCTGAGTAGTGACGGAATAGCCGGATACCCGCTGGCCCTCCAAATAGAAGGAGGAGCCATCGGTAAAAAGGGACAGGTCCGGGTTTTTCAGAGGGAGGTCACGTAAATCCGGGCGAGGCTTACGCTCTCAGCGACGACGTCCATACATACATGGTGCGGTGTGCCATCCTCCGGAAGGGGTGTCAGTGTAGCGGGGTTGAGGACGTTGCAGCAGCGAAGGGTGATGTTGTCAACGGCCAGCAGAATCAGCTCGTATTTGCGTGCCTGCTGCGGAGACAGCGCTTGCGTTGTATGCTGTTTTAAAAGAACCTCAACCTCGTGGGGGATCCAGACAGTCAAAGGGTGCCCCAGAACAATAGGGCGTGACCATTCCACCATAAGGGCTGCAGTGGCAATGGACCGCACACAGGAGACCGATCCCCGAATGACAGGGTCTAATTGTACAGAATAGTAAGCTATGGAGCGTGGGTGATCCCCTAGGTACTGCAATAGGACACCACTGGCCACTCCCCGCTGCTCGTGGCTGAAGAGGAAAAATGGTTTATCGTAATCCGGGTCCCAAGGCGGGCACAGAGATCAGAGCCTTCTTGGTGGATTCAAAAGCGGCTTCCATTTCCGGGGTCCAGGAGACAGGATCGGGGGTCGATGTTGTGGTGGCCTGGACTAATGGTTTCACCAATTCCCCGAAGGCCACTATCCAGGGTCGGCAGAACCCCGCAGCCCCCAGGAAAGCCCACAACTGCTTTTTCGTAGTCAGGCACAGGCAATCCTGGATTGCCTGCACCCTATCAGGGGAGAGTAAACACTCTCCAGGCCGAATCACAAAACCTAAATAAATTACCTGATCTTTGCACAGCTGCAATTTGGATGGAGATGCACGATGACCCTTATTGGCTAGGGCAGTAAGCAAAACAACAGAGTCAATTAAACATGCATTATAATCAGAGGCAGCAATTAACAAATCATCCACATATTGAACTAGGACAGACAAACTAGGCAAGACAAAATCTTTTAAATCCTCGGTGAGAATCCGGGAAAAAATAGTGGGGGAGCCTGAGAACCCTTGGGGAAGACGTGTCCACGTTAGCTGCTGGCCCTTCCAGGTGAATGCGAACAAATATTAGAATCGGGGTGCAAAGGGATACTGAAAAATGCTGCACACAAATCTACGACAGTAAAACAAGTGGCTGACTGAGGAATCAGTGTTAGAATGGTGCTCGGATCAGGGACAACTGGATGGGGGGCTATAACATAACCATTTATAGCCCGTAGATCCTGAACAAACCGATAGACTGGACGCCCGTCCGGTACCGGTTTAGGCTTCCTTACAGGAAGAATGGGAGTATTACAGGGCGAACTGCAGGGAACTAGAACCCCCTGAGTCAAATAGCTGTCAATAAGAAGTGAAATGCCTTCTTCCGCCTCCCTCGGCAAGGGGTATTGTTTACGGAGGGAGGCGGTCTGTCCCTTGTTTCCAGACTAACTGGAACGGCTGATTTAAGAAGGCCTACATCGGTAGAATTCGTGCTCCACAAACTGTGTGGAACACTGGACAATTCAGAGGGGACGTCAGGAACAGGGGTAGCCGATGCCATAAGAGAAGCAACAGCTGAGTCCGGGACGGACATGCGGAGCCCCTCGGGGGCCCAATATATGTGTGCCCCCAGTTTGCTCAGCACATCCCGCCCAAGAAGGTTCGCAGGGCCCTCTGGCATTACAACAAATCTATGTGACAATTTTAAAGAACCAAGCTCAACAGGGACAGGGTAGGATAGGGGAGCCGGGCACGGATTGCCCTTTATACCCTGCATCCAAACTTTGGTATCGGAAAGAGAGCCCAGAACAAAAGTTAAAGTGGAGAGGGTGGCACTGGTATCTACTAAAAAAGGCACAAGCTGTTCCCCAACTTTTAGATAAATTTGCGACTGTAACCTGAAATCCCATTCCAACTCTCCCAACGTTCCCAAAATCTCCGCCTCTAGTCACTGGGGATTAGCAAAGTCCTGGGGAGCGTTAGGGGGAAAGGAAGAACCGGTCTCCAGCTGATCCTGCAAAGGAGCCCCTCGTGGAAGCAGGGGGCATTCCCTCTTCCAGTGCCCTGGTTGCTTACAATAATTACAGTTCCCGTTCCTTGTCCCGCCCCAGCCTCCTCCTCGTCCTGTCCCGCGTCCCCTCCCCCTTGTATTCCCATGTCCCTGCCAGTGCTGATTCCCCAAGGGAACCTGCAATGCGGCTACCAACATACTTACTTCCCCCTTCTTTTGCTTACGTTTTTCCTTAGCTTTTTCCTCGTCCCTACCATTAAACACAAAAGTGGCCAGGAGAACTACTTCGCTTAGGGGTTTCCCTGGCCAGTCGGGAACATGTTTAGTGAAATACTTCTTTATGTCCAGCACCACTTGATCGACAAAGTAAGAGACCATCATCGTGCGGCTAACCTCGGCTTCTGGCTCCACCCCTCCCCCGTACATCCTAACTTGCTTAAACAAGTGGGCCAAAAAGGCAGATGGATGCTCGTTTAAGTCTTGCTGGCACTCTCTAATTTTGGACCAATTCGCAGTCTTACTACCTGCCCTGCAGATGCTTTCCAGAAGCCCCTCCCGAGCTGCTGAGAGGGTGGCCTTACCCCCCTCCACGTTGACATCCCATCCAGGATCTGTGTCTGGCCAGCCAGGCCCTCCCCTGGGCCCCCCGGCCCAACGGCGGTTGGCATCTAAGATGGAATATCTTTCATCCAGGGTAAATAGAGTCTGCAAAATGGCCTCAACGTCCGCCCAGTTAGTGTTAAAGGCCGTAAAGACAGATCGGATAGTCTGCAGAACCCGTTCCAGATCGTCGCACAACCTCAGCATCTGCGACTGCCAGGTGATTAGATCCCTAGGGCCGAAAGGGCGATGAACCGTGACCATAGCCACTTACTCCCCGCCGTCCGGCCCGTGTTTTATAATGGGCGGCTGTATCAGGGGCGCCTGAAGTGCCACAGAAGGCAGGGTTAAAGAGGGATACAGAGCGGCAGCGGGGAGAGGAGTGGGGCCAGGGTGAGGAGTAGAAGGGAGAGACGGAGGCAGGAAGGCAGCATAGGGTGGAGCGGAACCCATAAGCGGCATACAAACCTTAGATCTGGTACCAGAGCCCAAAGTCGAGGGGCACCCCTTACCTTGGGCATATGCCCAATTATCCCATACATACCAATAATCCATTTGAGCTGGATATTTGTCCTCCAGCTGTTGTCTAAGGCAGGTTAATTCATCCTGTCCAAAAGTTCTGTTGGGTGGCCATCCAAAGGGCGTCTGAATAGTCAGCGCTGGCCACTTGACTTTACACAAAATTACAGCTCTCCTTTTACCTAACCCATGGGTGCCAGATATATTTTTCCAATTCTCAAGAATCTCAGCCAAAGGGGTTCCCCTGCTCACACTCTGCCCAGAGCCCATCCTAGGGCAACCAAAAGAACTCCCAATGTGCCACCTTATCGCCTAAGCGACGGCCCAAACTCCCGTTCCTTGGAGTTCTCAAAGGTGAACTCACCCTATGCCGGCTGAAGCTGTCCGAGAGGAGGAGTGCGGTCTCGCTCATTGGGGCGAGCCTAGAGTCCCTTCGTGGTCGCCAAGAACTGTTGCGAATTATACCTGATAGGTCATGTGCAGTTTGAGTCTAGGCTGAGGCACAGGAACAAAGTCCACAACTGTAGAGTTCCCAAAGATATTAAGTTTATTACGCTGGTGCTGCTAGTCAGAAGGGGACCCTGAATGCACGTTATACAAAGATTATATACCTTTTAGCAAAGCACGTTGCCCTCGTGCATCGGAAACCTTAGCCAATAGACAAACCCTTTCCTTATTTACCACCTATCCCTGCTAGGTATATTCCCCGTGCTAAACTATTACTTCAACTACACAACATGGTCCTAAAGCAATGCATCAGTAACCTTTCTTATCAGGATGGGAGGCCCACATCACAAGGCCAGGAGGCAGGGAGTTAGGAACAGACAAAGAACAGAAACCGGGAGTCGAGACAGGCTGGAGACAAGGGGGGGTTTTCACAGGAATGCAGTATCTAAGTAACACTCCTCCTGGTGCATGATGTGCTTGCTTTTAGACAACGGTGGGCCCCAGACCAAAATGGAATCTGTGACAAAGCTCTGTCCTTGCCTCCGTGGGTCCAGTGTTTCCTGGCAGATTTCGCTAGCCTCAGAGGCTCACTGTGACCCTCCACGTAACCCTTCTTTCTCTAGAGACAAGGGTCACAGTCTACTGAGCCATTTTCATCATAAGCCAGCAAGGGAGGTGAGGAGAAGTTATCCTTCCTTGCACAGTTTCTGTTGTCTCCCAGTCTCAGTGATTAATCAGGGCGCAAAGCGGGGGGGGAGCCCGGACCCACCCTCTACTCTGGGCTCCAGCCCAGGGACCCTAATAGTATCAGCTATGGTAGCTGACCTTTTAGAAACATGACATGTACAATTCCCTGGGCTACTTCCCCCACAGCAGCCCTCACTTCCTCAAGCTCCACTTCACCCTTACCTCAGGGCCTCCTTCCTTGTGCCTGATATGGTGTGTACTACTCAGCTTCTCCAACAGCGCAACTTCCTCCCACAGCTCCTGACATGCACACCCACCTGACTGACTGGGAGGTTTTTAACTCGTTTCAGCCAGCCCCTGATTGGCTTCAGGTGTCCCAATCAACCTAGCGTTCTCCCTGCCTTCTGGAAAGTTCTTAATTGGCCCCAGGTGTCTTCATTGACCTGGAGCAGCCCATTTCACTTAACCTGGTACCAGGGATTTGTTTAGCCTGGAGCTAATGTATCTATCTCCCACTACTTTTCTATAACCATCTGGCCTTGCCCCGTCACAAGTCACATATGCTAACCTTTCCTTAACACAACTCCTGCTTTGGAACAGACTATTAAGCCAGTTAGTGCAGTGTCCAATCTTCTCAGGTAGCAGCCACTAATTAATATTGAAGAGGAAGGTGTAAACCCCCAACACTGCACCTTACAAAGCAGTACTAGACCATGGGGAGAAACTTCATCCTGATTCCAGCAAATGATCATCTTGAGGTCTATTGTACAATGTTTAATCTAAGTGTCATTGCAGATGTTGGGCCAGATCATCAACTAACATAAAAAAAGCACAACTCCTCTGAAGTCAGTGGAGCTATGCCAGTTTACACCAGCTGAAGATTTGTGGCCTCTTATTCTGTTTTATTCAAATAAATTATTACTTCTTTAAATTTTTGTGAATTTCACTATTTACTTCAATATCCTGCAGCAGTGAATTCCACAGATTAATTGTGTGTCACTTAAGAGGTGTTTTCCCTTTATTCCTTTTACATCAGTTGTCTCTTAATGCCGCCAAGTGCTCTCTTACTCTAGTATTATGGGACAGGATAAACAGAAGGCATCTTTCAAACTGAGCAATGTCTGTTACCTCCCCTCTGCAGCAAATGCTTTCCCTGCCCTCCCACTTGTCACCTACAAGACCAGCAGCAGCCCTCAGTCCAGTCCCCTTCCTTCTATGCAGAAGCCTAGCTTGCCCAGAACGTGGACAGGATCGGGAATGGGGGCAAGGAGATACCATACCTTACCAGCTATGATGGTCAGACTGCAGTTCACTGGCCCCTTCCCTGAACAGGCTGCTTCTTTGACAAGGGTCCACAGTGCTCCATCCTTCTGTTCCCCACGTCCAGTCAGAGGGGAAAGTACTGAAGACAGAGACCAGGGCACCTTGGAACTGAAACACAAGGTCACATCACTCAAATATATATTCCCCATCATAAAGTCAACAGAATGAACCTGAGCAGAATTCACACTAATGACAGGGCTGAGCACACGTTCAACAAGATTACCTGAACCACACTGTCAGCGCCTGCCGAGCTCAGACATTCAGCTACTGGGTGGAAAGGGCGTTCCAGTCTAGATAGAAACACTGAACTGGAGCCCAATCCAGCCTTGTGTGGCCCAATACTGCCAGTAGCTGACAGAAGAATGGATTTTAAACTGTTTTCCTTTGAAATATATACATGCAACCTAATTCTCGAGGCTGGAAATAGATTCTGGATTCTGAACAGCTTTTTTTGTTTACAGAAGCATTTCCGTTTACCATCTGCACCCTGTACTGTGCAATCCAACACACAGTATACAGTGGATCATACATAACAATGTTATGAGAACGGTCCTTTTACTTTTCCAGCCTGCTGGCATGTGTTCTCCAGCTAAAATTTAGGACAAAGAAATGCACAAAACAAGAGGGATGAACTGGATTATAAACCATGATCTTCACCTCCACCCAATCAGCATTCAGGATTCCCCTCCTCCTACATTCCTGCCCTGTCAATTAGACTATAAAATACCCCTCCCCCGCCCCCCAATATTCCAAAGTGGTCCTCCCTAGGCTGTGCTCTTCCGGCAGGGACACAGGGCCCATTTCTCCTCTCACTTCAGTTGGAAGTGATTCCATTGACCAGTGTAAGTGAGCTGGCAATCAGGCCCTGGTTTAGGGTGTTCAGAGAGCACATAAATCGTGGGTGCCACTGGAATACATTAACACACAAAAAGTCTCCACTACCCTCCCACAATGTCCTGAAGCCCTCCATGTCACCTACTATATATCTGAGAACACTGGAAATAAACGCTGGTGATACCCCTTCACCCAATTCAGAATTTACTCCTGCTCTTGGATTTTGTACAAGGGACCTCCTTAGAGTATATCCCCACTCTTGCTCATAATACAGGCACTAGAATCTCTCTGCATTTTCTTCAACCCCTGACCATTCACAAATCAACACCCTTAACTCTTCAAGGGTCTCCATTCCCAACAGCAGAGAGGCATTTATACAGGAGGCTGAGCCATAGAGGAAAAATCCCATATTGTGCAGGGACTTTGTTTTTATTTGTCTGCAAATGGCCTGGCACCTTTTTGCTGTTACAGACACAAAAAGAACAATCATCTTGTTCACATAAAGGATGTGGTTACCTCTAGGTGGCTAGCAGGATCAGCCAGTTTTCTAAGCCCATGATTCCAAATGCAACTGTGGAGACACAGAAAGGGAAGTTTTGTGGTTTCAATACTCTCTTCCCAGAGAAGTGAAAATCTAAAAGGAAGGGGGGAGAGGGAGAATTTCCATGCACAAAAGGGAAAATAAATGTACAATAAATGAACAGCAAAGTAAATACATTAGGCCAGATTCTCAGCTGGTATAAACGATCATAACTCCCTTAAAGTCAATGGAGCTATGCCAGTGTATACCAGCTGAGGATCTGGCCTATTAGTTTTGTGCCTGTCTATTAATGTTAGTTGAGGTACACTGGTTTGATGCCAGTGAACAACAAAGAATCAGGTCCTCTGCTCTTAAAACAAGATTAACAATGAAAATAATCAATGATGGTGCACATCACGTTGACTTCAAGGGCCTCAGAACTAGGCTCTCTGTGTGGGTGGTCGCCAGCCTGTAGCCAAAGCCCACAACTTTTAAAGATTCTATAAAGAAAAATCAGAGCTTTGTTTGAAGAAGGCTGCAGATACATGTGCTCAGAGCTCCAAAGTAGAGCAAAGATACTGACAAGCTTTAAAAGGGACAATGTTTCAGAGGATACTAAAGATGCCATGACTGGACTGCGATCTCTAAAAATTGGTCCAAATTCATCCACCATATAGCAAAAGAATTCATGCATCAAACCTAATGTCTAAAAACCACACATTAAAAGATTGCGAAGTGCTCCCGTACTACAGTAATGGGGGGGCCACATAAGTACCCAAGATAGAAATACAGAACCTACAGCCTTAATGACAACCAATCAGCACATGCAACCCAGCTACCAGCTCTTGCAGAACAGCCCACAAAATGACCCAACAGCAAACTAGTGCTCACTTCTGAGGACTCTACAATAACCGGGCTAGCGCACGCAGCCCCGCTGCTCATAAACAGCCCCACAAACGAATGCCTTCAACCTATTAAAGAGACAAGGTGGGTGAGGTAATGTCTTTTATTGGACACCCTTCTGTTGGTGAGAGACACAAGCTTTTGAGCTTGCACAGAGAAGCTTGTCTCTCTCACCAACAGAAGTTGGTCCAATAAAAGACATTACCTCACCCACCTTGTCTCTCTAACACCCTGGACCGACACAACTACACAGCCTTCAGCCTAGTTGTTCCAAATGATCCTACGGTAACAAATTGTGATGCTGGCAGGCTAGGTGCCAGCTCTTGCCAAGGCTGCAGCCATTAGCTAAGAACTGACAAACTCATGGCTGGAGACCAGACCAGTTCATTTCGGTCTGTTAGTTCTGGTCTACACTACAAACTTCGGTCTGTATAACTATGTTGCTCAGGAGTGTGGAAAATTCACACCCCTGAGTGACATAGTTATACCGACCTAATCCCCAGTGTCGACAGCACTGTGTTGATGGGAGGGCTTCTTCCACTGCCATAGCTACCACCTCTCTGAGTACCTACGCCAACAGGAGAAGCCGTCAGCATAGATAGTGTCTTCACCAAGTGTTACAGTGGCACAGCTGCACCAGTGCAGCGCTGTAACCGAAGACAAGTCCTTAGTGTTGCTCAAATTAGGTATCAGTCCACGAAGAATGTATTTAGTGTTTAGACTGTATAGAATGTATGTAAATTGCTGCACGCATTAATCTTCTCTGTAATGTCTCTATTCCAGGCTGTAAGGAATTGTGTACGTTTTGCTTTGTAACTTTGAAAATGTTTGCTCTAAACTTGTGAACTGAGATGGGAAGAGTGTTTCCCCCCACCCGTCCAGAAGAACCATCAACATCAGGTGGGCCATCAAGGAACACTGCAATAGAAAGGACTGGTGAATGGCCCTATTGCGCCTTGGAAATGCTTTGAGCAAGAAAGCTTGTCTTTTACGGTCTTGGAGGCTGAATGAAGGAAATAAAATAAAGTCACGGGAAAATGTTCCATCTCTTTTCTTTTTGAACTCTCACAAGGCCAGAGACACTAAACTGAAGCCAGAGATCCCAGGGTCTACCCCTGGGTGGATCTGTCCTGAAAGACATTTTGAATTGACAGCTCTCTACAACTCTGTCACTCTTAGGATTTAGATTGCAACAAATTTATGTGCACGTTTGCTTGCTTTAACCTATAAATAACTCTCTCATTTATTTTTCCTAGTTTATAAACCTTTAGATAGACAATGCCTGCAGCCAATCCTGTACTAAACTTTGTCTAGGGTACCAGGTGATCTGGGGTAGGTGACTCGTCTCTTGGGAATGGGAGCAACCTGAACATTTTGTGATTTTTGGTGTAACTCAGCAGTTCTCAACCAGGGGTCCGAGGCCTCCTGGAAGGCCCCGAGCATGTTTCTGGGGGTCTGCCAAGCAGGGCCGGCATTAGACTCTCTGGGGTCCAGGAAGAAAGCCAAAGCTACGCTGCCCCGAGCCCTGCCACCCGGGCCGAAGGCGAAGCCTGGGCGGCATCGGTGTGGGGCTATGGGCAATTTCCCTGCTTGCTACACCCTAATGTAGGCCCTCACTTTTATATGCAGAAAAACAGCTTTTGTGGCACAGGTGGGCAGTGGAATTTTTCTAGCATGTTGCGGGGGGAGGAGGGGAGGGTTCAGAAAGAAAAGGGTTGAGAACCCCTGGTGTAAGTGACCATTTATCACTAAGTCCAGCTTCCTTGGATGGCAAGATAAACCGGAGAATCTAAGGGAACTGTCATCTGTGACTCCATGGTCAGACTGTTACAGTGATCCAGGGGTTCACATTCGTCACTGGCTTGGTGAAAGCTAATTATAGAACCTACCCCCAGTTTGGGCTATCTATCCTGTTTTTGATAGTCTGCCCTGCCACTCCAGACGGCATGACACAAACCACCGCCTACTACCCAAGCCCTCATGCCGCTGAAACAACAGATCATGGCATGCAGCTGCCATGCGCACAATCATTCCTACAATAACACAGAACCACAAGGAATTCCTATACTCACTCAGAGCCCTCGGTGTGCAAAGCCCCAGCACTCATGAGCATTCGTTCACTAACAAACCTGCATAGAGTGTCCAACGCCCCATAGCCACACTACAACAAACCAGTGTGTTCGGCCCCGCACTTCCAAACACACAAACCATCACATGCACTGCCCGTGCCCCGAATGCCCACTTCCCTCAAGCACCCACATTGCACTCGGAGGTCACTGTACATTCCTCTCTGATGTATACATTTCCCACTTTTCCTGCCTCTTTTCTAGGAGCCTTTCAAGGAGAGATTTTCACAAAGTAACTTGAGGCCAGGGACCATCCTTTCTCCTAAAAGCAGTTCATTTCTAATTTCCCCTGCTGCTGTTGAAGATCTAGAGCCAGAATGAGACCTTTTCCTGCTACCACTCTGCATCACAGCTTAGATCCAGAGTTTGTGCCACTATGCAATCTGTAGCTATAACGACAACTGTAATGTCACAAATCTGTTATTCAGACACCACTGTGGGGTTAGGCACCTTAACAAGGAGAAAACCGTCAGGTGTAAACACAGTTCTAGCTAATTAGAATTTTTAAGTTAATTTAGTGCTGGCGAAAAGCACTGGATTTCCAGTGCAGGGGTTCATAGATTCTAAGGCCACAAGCGACAATTGTGATCTGACTCCTGTATAACACAGGCCAAAAAACTTCCCAAAATAATTCCTAGAGCAGATCTTTTAGTAAAAAACACCCAACTGTGACTTTAAAATGGTCACCAATGGAGATTCCACCTTGGTAAATTATTCCAATGATTAATTACTCTCACTATTAAAAATGCACACTTTATTTCCAGTCTGAATGTGTCTATCTTCAACTTCCAGCCATGGCATCATGTTATATTTTTTTCTGCTAGGTTGAAGAGCTCTTTATTAATTATTTGTTCCCCATGTAGATACTTTTACACTGTAATCAAGTCCGTGATTCAAAAAGAATATGAAGAGCAACTAGCAAAAGACACGAAAACTAACACCAATTTTTTTTTAAGTACATCAGAATCAGGAAGCCTGCCAAACAATCAGTGGGGTCACTGGACAATCACCATGCTAAAGGAGAAGCTAAACGAATTCTTTGCATCAGTCTTCACTATAGAAAATGAGAGAGCGATTCCCACACCTGAGCCATTCTTTTTATGTGACAAATCTGAGGAACTGTCCCAGATTGAGGTGTCAGTAGAAGAGGTTTTGGAACAAACTGATTAACTGTAATAAGTCACCAGGACCAGATTGGATTCACCCAAGAGTTCTGAAGGAACTCAAATAGGAAATTGCAGAACTACTAACTGTGGTATGTAACCTATCACTTAAATCAGCTTCTGTGCCAGATAGCTCATGTAACAATGAATTTTTTAAAAGGCTCCAGTGGCAATCCTGGCAATTACAGGCTGGTAAGACTAACTTCAGTACCAGGCAAATCAGTTGAAACTCTAGTAAAGAACAGAATTATCAGACACATAGAAGAACATGATATGTTGGGGAAGAGTCAACACGGCTTTTGAAAAGGGAAATCATGCATGTTACAATTCTTTGGGGGGGGGGGGGGGTCAACAAACATGTGGAAAAGGTGATCCAGTCGAGACAGTGTACTTGGACTTTCAGAAAGCCTGTGACAAGGTCTACACCAAAGGCTCTTGAGCAAAATAAGCAGTCATGGAATAAGAGTGAAGGTCCTCTCATAGATCAGTAACTGGTTAAAATACAGGAAACAAAGGGTAGGAAAAATGGTCAATTTTCACAATGGAGAGAGGTAAATAGCAGAATCCCTCAAGGATCAGCAGTGGGACCAGTACTATTTAACTTACTCACAAATAAATTGGAAAATGGTGGGGTGGCCAAGTTTTCAGATGATACAAAATTACTTAAGATGGTAAGTCCAAAGCAGACCACAAAAAGTTACACAGGGATCTCACAAAACTGGGTGACAGAGCAACAAAATGGCCGATAAAATTAAATGTTGATAAATGCAAAGAAATGCACATCGGAAAACATAATTCCAGCTATACACGCAAAATGATGGGATCTAAATTAGCTGTTACCACTCAAGAAAGAGATCTTGGGAGTCATCATGGACAGTTCTCTGACAACATCCACTCAGTGTGCAGTGGGAGTCAAAAAAGCAAACAGAATGTTGGGAACCATTAGGAAAGGGTTGGATAATAAGACAGAATATATCATAATGCCACTATAGAAATCCATGGTACTCCCACATCCTAAATAATTCATGAAGTTCTGGTTACCTTATCTCAAAAAAGATATATTAGAATTGGAAAAAGTACAGAGAAAGGCAACAAGAATGATTAGGGATATGGAACAGCTTTCCATATGAGGAAAGATTTAAAAGATTGGAACTGTTCATCTTAGAAAAGAGGGGCAATATGATTGAGGTCTATAAAATCATGCATAGTGTGGAGAAGGGAGTGTTATTTACCCCTTCACGTAACACAAGAACCAGGGATCACCTGATGAAATTAATAGGCAGCAGATTTGAAAGAAACAAAAGGCAGTACTTATTCACATAATGCACAGTCAACCTGTGGAACTCATTGCCAGAGGATGTTGTGAAGGCCAAAAGTATAACTGGGTTCAAAAAAGAATTAGATAAGTTCATGGAGGATAGGTCTATCAATCGCTATTAGTTAAAATGGTTAGGGTCAAAACCTCATGCTTTGGGTGTCCCTAAGCTTCCAACTGCCAGAAGGTGAGACTGGAGAACAGGGGATGGATCACTTGATAATTACTTCTGTTCTGTTCATTCTCTCTGACGCATCTGGCGCCAGTTGCTGTCAGATGCGGGGCTAGATGGACTATTGATCTTACCCAGTATGGTCATTCTTTTGTTCTTAAGTCTCCCCTTAATCTTCTCCTTTTTAAACTAAATAGATTGAGCTCTTTGAGTCTGTCACTATAAGGCCCGTTTTCTAATCCTTTGCTCATTCTTGTGGTTCTACTCTAACCCCTCTCCAATTTACCAATATCCTTCTTGAATTGTGGACATCAGAACTGAGCACAGTATTCCAGCAGAATACGAAGGCAAATACAAAGGCAAAATAACCTCTCTGCTCCTCCTCGAGATTTGCTTCTCTATGTATCCCAGGCTCACGTTAACTCTTTTGGCCACAGTGTCACACTGGGAACTCATGTTCAGCTGATTATCCATCGCCACCCTCAAATCTTTTTCAGAGTCACTGTTTCTTCTATGGTCTATACTCTTTGTTCCTATTTGTATATGTACATTTAGCTGTAATCAAATTCATATTGTTTGCTTGCATCCAGTTTACCAAGCGATCTAGTTCTCTTCATTATTTGCTTCTACCCTGTCCTCTTCGTTATTTGCTACTTCCCCAATTTTTGTGTCATCTGCAAACTTTACCAGTGATGAGTTTATGTTTTCTTCCAGGTTATTGATAAAGATGTTAAATAGCATAGGGCAGCAGTTCTCAACCAAGGGCCCAGTGTACCCCAGAGGGCCACAAGCAGGTTTCAGGGGGTCAGCCAAGAAGGGCTGGCATTAGACTCTATGGGGCCCAGGGCAGAAAGCCCAACCCTGAGCTCGAGTCCCACCATCCAGGGCTGAAGCTGAAGCCCAAGCAACTTAGCGTAGGGCCCCAAGAATTGCCCTGCTGGCTACCCCCTAATGCTTTCCTGAACTTTTATATGCAGAAAAGCAGTTGTGGTGGCACAGGTGGGCCGTGGAGTTTTTATAGCTTGTATGGGGGGGAGAGGGGGGCTCAGGAAGAAAAAGGTTGAGAACTCCTGGTGTAGAGCCCAGAACTGATCCCTGGGGGACCCCACTAGAAACACACCCACTTGATGACGATTTCCCATCTACACTTGCATTTGGAGACCTATCAGTGAGCCACTTAGTGTGGGCCACCTTAAATCCCACCACTCTCGTTTTTTAATCAAAATGTCAGGCAGCAACAGGTCCGATGCCGTCCAGCAGAGGAAGTAGATTCTGAAACCCTCCTGGCACCACTGCAGTCAGCAGGAGTTTTGTCACTGACTTCAGTGGATTTCATCCTGGGGGCCTCCTGTTTGGGAGATTCCAGGACACTCAGACCTCGAGCTCTTTGCTGAGACTGCCAGCATGGGGGGGAGTATACGCCCCCCAACTAGGGCCAATTGTGACGCCAATCCCCCCAGCCAGTGACTACGCCTGATCGAAGCAGGGGGGGCTGTAATAGCCCAAGCTGTTGGGGGGGAGGGGAGGTTTCCCTCTACTCCTAACGGGGGGGGGGCGCTGTGCTCCTCCCCACCGGCCTTTCCTGGAACCCCTGCACCCCTGCCCTTTGGGGACTGAACGGAGGCATTTCACGCCGGCCACTAGCCCCAGGCTGGCGCGCTCCCGCCCCGGGGCGGCTGGCTGCTGGAGCGCCCCTGCGCTCGCCCAGCTGGCTTGGGAGGAGGAATCGCAGCAGCACGGCCGGTCTGGCCGGCTCGCTGTCCCTCTCCCCCCGCGCCAGTGGCCCCGGGCCCGCGGGCCACCCCGGTGTGTTACTTACTCACCGCCGCCGGCAAAGCCCGTCCCCCTGCCCGCTCGGCTCGGCTCGGCCCGGCCCGCTCCAAGTTACAAGTTGGGGCCGCCGCTCGGGGCCGCCACGGTACAAAACCCGGCGGGCCGCGCAGCCGGTGGAACAGCTGGGACTCGGCGGGATCTCACAGTCCCGAGCGGAGCCGGGTTTTCCACTAGGCTTGAGTTTACACAGAGGGGCGGTTGGTCTCAGTCCCCCCGGTCCTGGGAGCCACGTAAGAGCCGAACCCAAGCGCTGCACCGCTTCTGGTCTGACGGTCCTTCGAGCCTCCCCGTCCCCGCTAACTCCAGAGTCGGCTGCGGTTTTACAGCGGGCTCCTGCTGTGCGTGTTGTTTGGTCCTGCAGCCATGAGGCAAACTTGCACCCAGTTCAGCTGGAGAGAGGGGAAAAGTGACTAGCCGGGACTCCACAGGCACTGTCCCTAGGTCGGTGGGGCAGTCCCTAGAGTGGATCCACCCAGTGGGGTGGTGTCACAAAGCAACTGTCCTTTCCCCACCTTCCGCTCCCGTGTATTTCAATGGCGTTAAAAAGGCATTTTCTCGTCTTGCTTTCGAATGCGCACAGCTGTGCCCCGGCTGCATAAAACCACACCCCCTGCTGGTTAACTGCAGAGCTGCCTGATCCTGCTGTCTAAGAATACTAGACAAGGCCAATTCTCCACTGCACGGTGGCTCTTTTATGATGCTCCACTGCCATAAAGGGGCCACGTAGAGGGTGGAGTCGGCTCTGAAGGATACCCCTGGCATAGAGGGGGCTCCCCTCTTGGCACAGAGCTATATGAAGGGCCAGCGTAGTGGGTGTGCCAAGGAGGGAAAGTTAGAAAGAGGATGGTTCTACACCAGGAGTTCCCAAGGAGGCAAAACCCAGCACTCCAACTATGTTTGGCTGCTAGAGAAGTGCCAGAAATCTCCAGAGGGGATCTGACCTTGTGAGAGTTCCAGTCTAATTAAGCATCTGAACTTTAGAAACTTATTAATAGATTCCAAGGCCAGAAGGGACCATTGTGATCATCTACTAGTCTGATGATTCTATATAACACAGGCCATACATCTTCCCTAAAATAATTCCTAAAGCATATTTTTTAGAAAAACACCCAAACTTGATTTTAAAATTGCTAGTAATGGAGAATCCACCACAACCCTTGGTTAATTGTTCCACTGGTCAATTACCCTCATTGTTAAAAAAACTTATACCTCATTTCCAGTTTGAATGTGTCTAGCTTCAACTTCCAGACATTGGATCATGTTATACCTGTCTCTGCTAGACTGAGCCCATTACCAAATATTTGTTCCCAATGTAGGTACTTTTAGACTGTAATCACGTCACTCCTTAACCATCTTCTCTGGACAATTTGTGGTTCACACTTGTTAATAGTTGTGAGGCCATGGAGAGAGAAAGTTCCCTAACCATGTTTAATTGTTAGAAGATGGAGACTCACAGGATGTGAGACAGACCCCTGATAATCAGACCCTGTGAATTTCAAGACAGGCGGTCTCCCCAGTTACCACACTGTTCATGTAGCTGGTCTCTGTCATGTAACCCAAGAACCCTAACTATACAAGTCTAGAGACTGGGGTTCTCGGTTCCCTGCAGGGGACTTGAGTCCTCTCTCCCCCGTCAACAAAACAATCAGAATCCAGTCACAGCAGATATACCACAAGCACAGCACAGTGTTATGTGAGACTCAGTGTCTGTTTCTGCCCTTTCTGAATTAATGTATGCATCTGATGAAGTGAGCTGTAGCTCACGAAAGCTTATGCTCAAATAAATTGGTTAGTCTCTAAGGTGCCACAAGTACTCCTTTTCTTTTTGCGAATACAGACTAACACGGCTGCTACTCTGAAACCTGTATGTAATGTGTACATCATATTATTGTCTCAGGTACTGCTGTGGCTTCCATCATCTCTGCAGTATCCAGGTAATTTATTAATAAATAATAAGACTTTGCACTTCTCTAGAGCCTTCCATATTAGGATCTCAAAGGTGTTTACAAACATCAGGAAATTAATCCTCACGCCCCTCTTGTGAGTTCGGAAAGTAAGTATGGTTGTTTCCATTTTACAGGGGGAAACTGAGGCACAGAGAGAAAACTATTTTTTTAAACTGCACAGGGGCACAGGGACATTAATTAAAAATATCTAGGGAGGGTCTGAGGCTTTTTTTCAAAATAATTCTAGAGCTGATTAAATGTGCTTGCCTGACAGAGCTGGAGACTGCAGTCCTCTGTTTATCTGCAGAACAGGGATGATAAAGACACTGGCTGTGCATGCATCTCACAGATATCGCCTGCCAGTCTGTCCATTTGTCATAAGAAGGAGGCGACAGCTTTAGGTAGGGGTTAAGTCTTTATAGCTCTTGAACCTTAGCTTCTCTGCTGAGACTGCCAACAAACAAACTTTGCCTGGGTAGCCAATCATCCCATTTGTCTACCTTGGGAGGTGCCACGTCATTGTATTTCTTCTGTGGAACACCATAATTTCATGGAAGCATTTGTTTCTTCACCTTGCTAACTTTTTTACATGCAAATTTTAACTGTTGTTTGGCTCTTCGATATGGTTGTGATAAGTGCCATAAAATATCACAGACTGACATCATTGTATTGTGCCAGTGGATGATGAGGCAAAGCCTGAAATAAATGTGGATTTCTTTAATATTCGTTGGAACACAGGACAGAGCTGTGAAATGGGGATTGTACAACATATTTCATATCCCTGCACTTAGCAGCACACATCCCCTAACAAGCACCTGTAACAATAGGTAGACAGCTGGCTCCTGTGACCACTGTCTTTCATGAGGACCAATGTAGTCCCATCATTTCCTTCTGCTCCCCTTTGTTTTATCCACTTATTGATCTTATACACTTTGATTGTAAGATCTTTGGGGCTGTGGCTGTCACTATTATATCTGTTCGTCTATTAGGCTGCCATTATTGTGATATCTGAGCATCTCACAGTCTTTAACGTATCTGTGCTGCTGGCAGACCAGGTGCCAGCTCTTGCCAAGGCTTTAGGCCTCAGCCAAGTTTTGACAAATTCATTGGTGGAAACCAGTCTTGTTCACCTGTGTGTTAGCATGCTTAAAATGGATATTGGACCTATAACAATGTGTTTGGTGTTTAGACTTTATGAAATGCTTGTAAGTTGCTGCATGCATTCATCTCACCTATAATATCTTTATCACATACTATAAGGTAATATATAAGTTTTTGCTTTGTAACTGTAAAAAAAATGTTTGCTTTGAAACTATGAACCCAGTCAGGAGGGATCATCTCCTGCCCATCAAGAAGGCTTATCAAAACTAAATGGGCCATCGTGTGACATCACAATACAAAGACTTTGTTAACTGCCCCCTTGCAGCTATGAAGAGGCTAGATGCAAAAGGACTTGTCCCATCAGGTTGAAACTTGGAAGAAGGAAGTAAAAATAGCTGACAAGAAAATGTCTCATCTCTTATGCTGTTTGGACTCTCACAGGGCCAAAGTTACGAAACAGAAGCAGAAATCCCCAGGGTCAACCTGGGTTAGCCCTAAAAGACATTCAAAGCTGACGGACTACAACTCCTCTCACCTTTGGAACCATAGACTATAACTTATTTGTGTATATATGTCTGCCTGCTTTAACCTTGTAATAACTCTCATTTATTTTCTTCGTTAATAAATCCTTAGTTTATTATAGGATTGGCTGCAAGCATCTTTGGTGTGAGATCTAAGGTACAAATTGAGCCAGGGTTAAGTGACTGGTCTCTTGGGACTGGGAAAAACCTGAATATTTTGTGATCTTTGGTGGATAGCAACCAACTATCACTAAGTCCAAATTGCCTGATTGGCAAGATAGTCCTCTTGGGCATATACCACCAGTTTGGGGTCTCTGCCCTGCTTCTTTGCAGTCTGCTCTGAGGTTGGCACATGTGGTCACAAGCCACTCCAGACAATGGGACAGTATCTATCTTCACAACATTCCCGGGAGGTAGGGAAGAGCCATTTTACAGGTGGCGAACAGAGGCACAGATAGGTGCTAGAACTAGGGGTGCTACCGTACCCCCTGGCTTGAAGTGGTTTCTATTATATACAGGTGTTGCGATTCAAATACAAGACAGCACAAAGCTTTACGCAAGCAAACAGGCTGGTCTGCCAACGGACTGGGCCTGTCAGCTTTCCACCCTCTCCTTTATTCTTTCTCTCCCCGCGCGCATTACATTCTCCAACCGATAAAAGGAATACACTGGCTTTGTTTAACATTCTTATTTATCAATTTCTATCTACCACATTCCTTGCTCTCGGGCCTTGAGCCCAGTCCTGGGAGGCTTCCCACGGTTCATGTCATCTGGGCGAGATTCCAAGGTTCATGCCCTTGAGAGGAGCTGTGTGTGCACAGCTCCTACACAACACTCTGGGTGTGCCCTGAATGTTGCCAAGCGCATGAACCTTGTATGAATCCTACATCCCCTCCTTTTTTGTTTATTTGTGCTCGGCCATCTCATGGTAGCCATCAATTTGCTTCTGCAAGCCAATTAACTCCCCGACAGACAAGGTCATAACTCGTCGAGCCTGCCAGGGCGGGTCTCGACAAAGCCTTAACAAAAAGGAAATACATTGCACACGGCAACAGCAAAAAATAAGCTTAAGAAGGTAAAGTGTAATTGGCCGGGCCCCAATTAGCCATGCTAGAGTACTGGGAAGAGAGGTTCGCGTAAGCAGCGAGCATCATCTCATTCCCAATTTCCTCAGGGTGACAACATACTGGAATAAGGCACGTACCTAACAATTCTTCAGCTGCTACAAATCAAATAAACAAAAGTGGGTAACATTTACTATTGAAGCCAATCTTTCCCATAGGTTATATGTCATTTGGGCCCGTAACGGAGGAAGCGCTCCTGAGCCAACCCCTACAGGAAACAGCAGGCACAAAAGGCATACAATCAATACAGAATTAGCAGTAATTTGGGCGAGAATTGCCACAAACAGAGTCTCAGGAGTCTCTGGCTGTTGGTTTGCTGCCAGTCTTCATTGAGCTGCGGCGACCAATGCTTTTACTGCTCCCCATGTCACGGGCTGGCTTGGGACGCTACGCCTCCTTCGTCTCCGTACCGCCATTGTCGACCCGGGAGGCACCGTGTTCTCCTCCAAGGTCAGCTGAAACTCCGGTATGGGGTTCGACAGCCCCTGGTGCCACGCCATGCTGTTTCAGTGCTTGTCGCACACACCGGGCCGGAACCCACAACGGTCCTGCAGGGAGAAACACAGCAGCATATCCCCGACCCCAAGTGATTAAAGGCACTGGGCCCAGTCATTGCGGATCGGGCAGCTACGGTAATAGACACGCGGTCTTTCCAGTACCTCGGACTTATGAAAATGCCAACCCGTGGGGGTCTGCTGATCTGTATTCAGTGTTAAATTATTTAAAGTAAACAAAAGGATAAGCATTTGTTGCTGAATGTCTCCTAAGGTTCGGAGACGCAGCTCCCCTTGTTTTAATTGTTTGTCAAGCAAGGTTTTTAGTGTGCGATTTGCACGTTCAACAATGGCTTGGCCTGTGGAATTATAAGGGATCCCGTGTTTGAGACGGACGTCCCATTGGGCACAAAAGGTGGAGAGGGCTGTGGAGCAATAGGCTGGGGCATTATCCGTTTTCATCTGGCTCGGGCGACCCATAACAGCAAAACAGGCTAGCAAATGGTGACTAACTTTGGGAGTGGCTTCCCCACGCTGTGGGGTTGCCCAGAGAAATCCTGAATAGGTATCAATGGAAACATGGAAAAACAAATAGGGGCGGAATTGTGGCACGTGAGTGACATCCATTTGCCACAGCTGATTCGCTGCGGTACCTCTGGGATTAACGGCATAAGAAAAGGTAGGGGCAGCAGCAGCACAGTGGGGGCAGGAACAAACAATAGAACGTGCATGATCAGCAGGAATGTAAAACTGTTGGGCCAAAACAGAGGCAGACTGATGAAAAAAGGCATGGCTTTCAATGGGGTCAGAAAAAAGGGAATTTAGCTGACCACGTAACGCGCGATCAGCGCGCGCATTGCCTTCAGTGAGTAGCCCAGGCAGAGGGGTATGACTGCGAACATGAGCAACAAAATAAGGGAAATTACGAGTGGTGAGGAGATACTGTAAGGACAAAAACAGGCGAAGAAGGTCTGCATCGACCTGATGGGTGATGAAGGCAAGGGGTAAATGATCAATTACCTGATAAACATAATGCGTGTCCACAATCAAATTAAAGGGACAATCAGCAAAAAACTGAAAGGCCAAAATAACAGCAGCTAGTTCCAAGGACTAGTGAAGGTCTCCAAGCGCTGTGCATGCAAATGTTGTTGTACAAATGAATGAAGCGCTTTCAGCTTTTCTAGGGGAAGGGGCCACTGGTCAATCCATACGGGCTCTAAGGATTGCCATACCAATGGTAATGCGGATGGCAAGGTGGGTGAGGGAGGATTTTGGGCCATTATATATTAATATCGAGGGTGGTGTCCAGTTTTGCAAGTAAGTCACGGCCCCAAATATTGAGGTGGACAGGGAGTACAAAAGGGCGGATTGTAGCAAGGGCACAGCCTCCTGGTTCAGAGACCGTGACCCAAGACAAACTTTGGCGCCCGGGTTTGCTACCCTCGATCCCCCACAACTCTTTAGAAGGAACTGTTGGCCAACTGACCGGCCACTCCGGATCACGAATCACCGTTACGTCAGTTCCAGTGTCCACCAGCCCTGTAAAAGGAACATTATTTAAGAGATGTGTTAACTGAGGTTTCGAGGGGTGGACTGACATTGTTAGAGCAACAAGTGGAGAGGACGTGTTGTGAGACGGCAACTGAGACAGCGTCGATCCAAAGCCTTTCCCGTCCCGGGCTCGATCCTCTGCGGCTGGCACCTGATAGGGGACTAAAATCAATTGCGCAATTGACCATCCATGCGGGAGCGACTGCGGAAGATGAGTCAAAACCTGAACCTTAATAACGCCGGTGTAATCGGCGTCAATGACCCCTGGGATGACAAAAAAAACCCTGTTTCCCAGCGTGTGAGCGAGGGAGAACCAGACCCACAAATCCGTCAGGGAGAGGTCCCGTCACCTGTGTAGGTATGGCGCAAAGCTCCCCCGGCAACTGAAAATCAGCGTCCTCCTGCATAATCAAATCAAGCCCTGCACTTCCGGCAGTCGCCGCCCTCATGGAGTCTACGGATTTTAAAGCAGAGGAACAGTTGTCTGAGTGGGAAACACCCCCGTTTGGCCCTGGGTTTGGGGGGAACCCGTCGTGTGGTTTCCCAACCCGCTACGACACTGATTAGCCCAGTGATAGCCTTACATTCTCCAACCGATAAAAGGAATACACTGGCTTTGTTTAACATTCTTATTTACCAATTTCTATCTACCACATTCCTTGCTCTCGGGCCTTGAGCCCAGTCCTGGGAGGCTTCCCACGGTTCATGTCATCTGGGCGAGATTCCAAGGTTCATGCCCTTGAGAGGAGCTGTGTGTGCACAGGTCCAGCACAACACTCCGGGTGTGCCCTGAATGTTGCCAAGCGCATGAACCTTGTATGAATCCTACATACAGGTTTACACTTTGGTTCAATGGCTTTGCACCCTCAGTATAAAAATTGTTCCAGCACCCCTGGAAGCACAGAGAGACTTAGGGCATGTCTACACAGCCGCAACAATGCTTTAATGTGGCTGTGTAGTCGCAGCTCCAGTGCTGGGAGAGAGCTCTCCCGGTGCTGCAAAAAAAACCCGCCACGAGGGGAATAGCTCCCAGCGCTGTAGCGCTATCTACACTGCCACTTTACAGCGCTAAAACTTGTATTTTCACACCCCTGAGCGAAGAAAGTTTCAGTGCTGTCAGTGGCAGTGTAGACAAGGCCTAAGGCCCAGATCTTCAAAGGTATTTAGGTACCTATCTGCCACTGTTTTTACCAAAATATCTTTGAGGATCTGGGCCTTGTCCAAGAGCATACAGAAAGTCTAGCAGAGGAAAGAATTGAACCTGGGGTCTCCCAGGTCCTAAGTTAGAACTGTAACCACTGGAGGATCGTGTGTGTAGACACAGGGTGAGTACAGGGCCTAATGCAGTGGAACCCTGGTCTCTAAGTTCTACCATATTACAACTATAATCATAGCGCCTTTAGGAACCACAATCATCTCTAAAGAGCTAAATACTGTCTCTATGGCGGCTCAGTCCTGGGTCTTTCTGCTGAGACTTTTAACAAGACACTAATTTATTTCAGTTGTGGGTTTTTTTGTCAGTTCTATTGGGAACTGAACCAAGCCTATTAAAATGTTTCCACATTCATTAAAACAGAGCAGAGAAACGCACCAAACTGAATCCAAAATCTAAGGGAAAATGTAGGCTGAATCCCTTTTATATCGTCATCTTTCGGGGTGACAAAACACCTTTCTTCCCTGGCACTGATCACAGGCTCAGCAACCCCGCCCGCCAGGCTGCTCTCTCAAGGTTATGACGATCGTGCAGCCTGAGGCCCCACAATGCAGAATCGGGAAGGGGAGGGTTATGGGGAGGGCGTTGTTCTTCTGTCCCCGTCCTCGGTTCCGGGAAGCGGGCGTCTTTGCTCCCCACCCACACCGGGAGCGGCCGCGGCGGGAGCGCAGAGCGCGGGAGTCCAGCAGGACTCCGGCCCGCGGGCGATCTGAACACCCCCCCCTTCCTAAGTCACCCCACTGGCTGGTCAGGTGATCAGCGGCGGGTGGTCACGTGATTGCCCGCCCGCCCTCCCCTGGCGAGGCTGGAAGGATCAGCTGAGTTGCAGCAGCCGCAGCGGCTCCCCGCGCCCGGACCGCCCGCCTCCGCCCAGGTAAGTGAGCCGGCGGGCGGGGAGGGCCCGGGCAGGCTCCGCGCTGGGGCTCATGGCTGGCGCTCTGCAGGCGACAGGTGCCTCCAAGGAGTGGCGGAGGCTAAAGAACCGGACAGGTCCTGCCAGCCGGGGGGGAAGGGCCGATCATTGCTGCTTGTTCCTTCGCTCCCAAGGCGGCTGCTTGGGGCTCTAGCCCTCCCGTCTTAAAAGTGGGGTGCCCAGGCAGCAAATGTGCAAAATCGGGACGGGGTGGGGGGGTCATAGGAGCCTACATAAGAAAAAGACTCAAAAATCGGGACTGTCCCTATAAAATCGGGACATCTGGTCACCCTACTTAAAAATGCCTTGGGATCCTGAAGGATGAGGCGCTGCGGACTTCGGGTTGCTAGTTCTGCAGCTTCCCATCTCCGTGAACCCAGAGCTCAGCCATGTGCATGTGCTTCTTTCCAGGCGCTTAGTTTCCCGTGGTTGATGGGTTTGAACTGGGTTCCTAGGTGCAGACTACTCCATTAGCATGCACCGTGCTGTGTTCCACCCCGTCTGAGACTGGAGTTGTTTTATGGTCAATTCCTATCCAGAGACTGCTCTTTTTCAGTTGATAAGGTGCAATAATACTATCCTGCCATTCAGATTTTCTTTTGTTTCCCTGGCGAAGAGTGCCAGTTGACTAGCACAGGAGAGCAGAGCGCTCTGCTTAGCTGCAGAGTAGGTACAGTGCAGCAGTAGTGTGGAGGCTCCACATATGCACTTGAACCAGCTTCCTGCATTAATGTACTTCATGGCAGGGCCAGCCCTAAAGATGAAAAAAATAACCTAGTTTCTGTGATCTAGCACTGAGTGATTGGACGGAAAATGATTCACAAACAGCCCTGGATTGCTTTCTCCTCTCAGCCTGTCCCCTGCCTGGCTCTTTGTTTGTTAACATTTTTGGAATGGGTTTTTGTTTGCACAAAGTTGAGGAACAGCTGCTCCTAATGTGAACCCCCGAATTCAGATGTAGACAAGGGGGATCATAGCTGGTGTCAGGAGTGTTCACCCTCTTTATATGGCCCCTGTCATCGAAGTATCTGAGTCTCTCACCATCTTTAATGTACATGAGGTAGGGAAGTGCTAGCATCCCCATTGTATGGATAGGGAATGGATGCACAGAGACCAAGTGACTTGCCCAAGGTCACACAGGAAGTCTGTGGTGGAGCAGGAATTTTGTTATTAAAGTTTTGGTTTTTGAGTTGGGGAGCATAAACAGTCCCGTGTGACTTGGGGAACCAGTAACACTCCCTGAATTATGAATAACTGAAATGAATAATTCACAATCACCCTATAGGCTAGCATATGTTCATTGGACAATTATGAATAACAAAGATGAGTCAAAATCGTGGATAATTTCTGAAACCAGGATCAAATTCATTAGCTATGTTGTTCATAATGAATAGTTCACTCGACTCTAGACCTGGTTAATTCTTGACCTCTGTGGAGACTGCAAGTTGTGTAGGTGATTATTTGCAATGTGAGCAATCTGTCCTAGTAGGAACTAGACTTAGACCCTCCAACGCTCCACGCAAAGCCATCAGATGGTAACAACTTTCAGTCGCTACTGACCTGGGGGTGGTTTCGGACAAATAAACTGAAAGTTAAAGACTCCATGTCCCCATTCCCCAGGTCTCTGAGCTGCTTATTCCTTCATTGTAAGTATGTTTAGATTATTACTGTTTCCCCAAGGTGGGGGCCTCAACCTTCTCTGATCTCCGAGGATCTTTTCCAATTTTATCTTAGGGGAAAGTGCAAAATCCAGTGCCCATTAAAGTCAAGGGAAAGGCTCCTGTTGATTTCCCTGGTGTTGGACTGGGGCCCCTAGGAAGGAGCAGTGTGTTATGAACTTTCAGCTGTATTAAAGAATTTAGGGGGCACATTCAGCATCTCCATGATCATATTGTGATATCCTTTGAAGTTCTGTGCACAGATCAAAGCTAGAAGATGATCCTGAGCTTTTAGAACAGGCCACGTCCCAGTGCTTTCTTTAACTCGTCCCCTTTATCGATAAAAAATAACACTTGGCACTTCTGTGGTGCCTTCCCTTTGAAGGTCTCAAAGCACTAGAGAAACGTTAACGCAGTGAGCATCACAACCCCCTGTGAGAGGGGGAAAGTGATGCCAGAGGAGCTGGGCCCGACAGACTTGCCCAAGATCACACAGCATGTCAGTGGCAGAAGTTAGAGACATGTTTCCAGCCGGTCCTGTGCTCCTGCCACAGACTGCAGAAGAGTTCTGCTTCTCTTCTTTTTATTGTCTGGACAAATGCAGCTGCCTTCACACCACTTTTCTTTAGCATTCAGTGTGAGCCCAGCATCTCGGTATGGTATAAATCATTTTCTCCTTCACGTTTTGGGAGGAGTTTGTGACCTTGAGAGCCTGAAAGTACTTGCCCAGTGGTGGGTAACCTGCGGGTGGGTGCTCTGATTGTGGCAGGTCAAAAGGTAGGTATTTCTCTGCTGGGACCAGCCAAGTCAGTTTGGTGAAATGGTTACAATCTGGCCCCGTATAAAAGGGCCCAATTTTTTTGCAAAGGAAACATATTGCTTTATATGCACTGGATTCAGATTAGCTACTGTTCACCTTTCATTAATGCCAATTTACCCCACACAGATTGCAGCTGCACCTGACTCCTGACCTGCGTTGCACTACCACTGCTTGTTGTTTTTGTCCTAGATTTCTCTACACAACTCTGGCAGTACAACTTGGTCCTGTCAAGGAGCATCCCTTCCCCTGCTGTTTTAGTCCATGTGGGCCCTCCTGTGCAGAAACAGTAATGGAATCCTAGAAATGTAGGGCTGGAGAGGTCATCTAATCCAGCCCCCTGCACTGAGGCAGGACCAAGTACACCTAGATCAGGGGTTCTCAACCTGGGGGTTGGGACCCCTCAAGGGGTCGTGAGGGTATTACATTGGGGGGGTCGTGAGCTGTCAGGCTCCACCCCAAACCCCGCTTTGCATACCAAAAGAAACTACACCATTTGCTCAAGAAACTCCCTGAAAAAGCACAAGAACAAATCCGCACAGACACACCCCTGCAACCCCGACCAGGGGTATTGTATCTGCTACCCAAGATCCATAAACCTGGAAATCCTGGGTGCCCCATCATCTCAGGCATCGGCACCCTGACAGCAGGATTGTCTGGCTATGTAGACTCCCTCCTCAGGCCCTACGCTACCAGCACTCCCAGCTATCTTCGAGACACCACTGACTTCCTGAGGAAACTACAATCCATCGGTGATCTTCCTGAAAACACCATCCTGGCTACTATGGATGTAGAAGCCCTCTACACCAACATTCCACGCAAAGATGGACTACAAGCCGTCAGGAACAGTATCCCCAATAATATCATGGCAAACCTGGTGGCTGAATTTTGTGACTTTGTCCTCACCCATAACTATTTCACATTTGGGGACAATGTATACCTTCAAATCAGCGGCACTGCTATGGGTACCCGCATGGCCCCACAGTATGCCAACATTTTTATGGCTGACTTAGAACAACACTTCCTCAGCTCTCGTCCCCTAATGCCCCTTCTCTACTTGCGCTGCATTGATGACATCTTCATCATCTGGACCCATGGAAAAGAAGCCCTTGAGGAATTCCACCATGATTTCAACAATTTCTATCCCACCATCAACCTCAGCCTGGACCAGTCCACACAAGAGATCCACTTCCTGGACGCTACGATGCTAATAAGCGATGGTCACATAAACACCACCCTACACCGGAAACCTACTGACCGCTATTCCTACCTACATGCCTCCAGCTTTCACCCTGACCACACCACACGATCCATTGTCGACAGCCAAGCTCTACGATACAACCCGCATTTGCTCCAACCCCTCAGACAGAGACAAACACCTACAAGATCTCTATCAAGCATTTTTACAACTACAATACCCACCTGCTGAAGTGAAGAAACAGATTGATAGAGCCAGAAGAGTACCCAGAAGTCACCTACTACAGAACAGGCCCAACAAAGAAAATAACAGAACGCCACTAGCCATCACCTTCAGCTCCCAACTAAAACCTCTCCAACGCATCATCAAGGATCTACAACCTATCCTGAAGGATGACCCATCACTCTAACAGATCTTGGGAGACAGGCCAGTCCTTGCTTACAGACAGCCCCCCAACCTGAAGTAAATACTCACTAGCAACCACACACCACACAACAGAACCACTAACCCAGGAACCTATCCTTGCAACAAAGCCCGTTGCCAACTGTGTCCACATATCTATTCAGGGGACACCATCATAGGGCCTAATCACATCAGCCACACTATCAGAGGGTCGTTCACCTGCACATCTACCAATGTGATATATGACATCATGTGCCAGCAATGCCCCTCTGCCATGTACATTGGTCAAACTGGACAGTCTCTACGTAAAAGAATAAATGGACACAAATCAGACGTCAAGAATTATGACATTCATAAACCAGTCGGAGAACACTTCAATCTCTCTGGTCACTCGATTACAGACCTAAAAGTGGCAATTCTTCAACAAAAAAACTTCAAAAACCAGACTCCAATGAGAGACTGCTGAATTGGAATTAATTTGCAAACTGGATACAATTAACTTAGGCTTGAATAGAGACTGGGAGTGGATGGGTCATTACACAAAGTAAAACTATTTCCCCATGTTTATCCCCCTCCCATACACCCCCCACTGTTCCTCAGACGTTCTTGTCAACTGCTGGAAATGGCCCACTTTGATTATCACTACAAAAGGTTTTTTCTCCCCCCACTCTCCTACTGGTAATAGCTCACCTTACCTGATCACTCTTGTTACAGTGTGTATGGTAACACCCATTGTTTCATGTTCTCTGTGTATATAAAATCTCCCCACTGTATTTTCCACTGAAATGCATCCGATGAAGTGAGCTGTAGCTCACGAAAGCTTATGCTCAAATAAATTTGTTAGTCTCTAAGGTGCCACAAGTCCTCCTTTTCTTTTAATGTTTATAATGGTGTTAAATATATAAAAAAGTGTTTTTAATTTATAAAGGTGGGGGTCGCACTTGGAGGCTTGCTGTGTGAAAGGGGTCACCAGTACAAAAGTTTGAGAATCACTGACCTAGACCATCCCTGATGACTGGTATCTGTCCAACCTGTTCTTAAACACCTCCAATGATGGGGATTCCACAACCTCCCTGGGAAGCTTATTGCAGAGTTTAAGTGTCCTTTCAGTTAAAAAGTTTTTCCTAATCTAAATCTCTCTTGCTGCAGATTAATCCTGTTACTTCTTGTCCTCCCTTCAGTGAATGGGGAGAACATTTGATCACCATCCTCTTTCTAATAGCCCTTAATATTTGAAGACTGTTATCGGGTGCCTGCTCAGTCTTCTTTTCACAAATTAAACGTGCCCAGTTTTTATAACTTTCCCTCATAGTTCAGGTCTTCTAAACCGTTTATCATTTTTGTTGCTCTCTTCTGGATGCTCTTCAGTTTGTTCACAGCTTTCCTAAAGTGTGGCACCCAGAAATGGACACGGTACTCCAGCTGAGGCCTCCCCAGTGATGACTAGAGCTGAAGTGAATGAGGTTTTCATAATATGGACCCATCTCCTCAGGGAGTAATGAGACCTGCCATGCTTGATTTTGTCCTATTTATCGAGATATCTATAATGTGTCTGTTGCCCTGGTGTCTGCAGCTAAAGTTACAAAAAAGCAAACAGACAGTCTGTACAGCTAAATTCAGTACAGCTGTAATCTCCCTGCTGTCTGTGTGTGTCTGTGACTTTGTGACCACTTCAAGATTTGATTCCTAATCTCCAGACTAATTTTACATCTTGTTAAACAGAAAGGGGAAGCCTAGAGGCAGCTGCCCAGACCTCGGCCACAGCTTCTCCTTTCTGTACTATTTAGACTAAATTTGTTAGTCTCTAAGGTGCCACAAGTACTCCTTTTCTTTTGTTTAGACCTAGTTCCTCTTTCTAGTTGGGCAAGCAAAGCAAGGCACTACACTCCACTCGACAGCATTTCTCTGTCACTTTTGAGAACTGCACCAGACCAATTCCAAAATTTAGGGGAATATTCTAGGTATTGATGGGTAGAACCCTAGTGAGCTGGGTGAAAACCAGGAAAGCCTCATTTCCACTGAAATCAGGCCCACAGAACTCCCATTTGGTACTGCAGGCAGAGGAAGCTCTGGTGCCCTCTGGTAAGCTGCTGCCTGCATGTAGAACAGACCAGGTCAGTCACACACCTCGTTCCTTATGTAGGCTGAGTTGTAAACTCAGCTGGGCCCCTTCATCACTCCAGCCCTTCCCTCCCCTAGTGAGGCCGCTCAGTCCCCCACTCCAGCTGGGCCCCTTGCCCTCCACTTCACTTCAGTCAGCCCCTCCCCAGCTGGGCCTTCGTTAGCACTTGGATTACACACACAGATTGGCTACATGAGCAGGGAAGTGTGCGACCCTCTAGTATGACTGCTTGACCATTCTTCTTTTTCCAGCACCTTACCGAGCTGCCCCTGATGGGATGGATGTTCCCCTAGTTGTACTCATAGCAGTGCCCTTGAATTGCAAACACAGGCTCCGAGTCATTCCTGGAGAATCCAGTGCAAGGGGGGGCAGCTGGACCCTGCCCTATTCTGGAGCTGCTGGGGGCTGGTTCAGCCCCTCATGTAGGTTAAGCAGCCCTTGGGACTGTCTTACTTTGTGCCCTGAATCTCACGGTGCTTGTGGGCCTTGTGGTAACTGGTAAATATCTGGGGTGTAGGAAAGCCCCTGCAGAGGTGCAGAGCCAGCTCTGGGTTGGCCAGAGAGGCCCTCTAGGCTAGAGGTATTCCCCAGCAGTGCCAGGCTGCTGCTTTGCTTTACATTGTATCCCCACTTCTGACTCCTGGCAAATAGCACCTGAAATTTGTCTTTGTCACTAACTTAAATGGACGGGTAGAAGATCCACAGGGAGCAGATGATAAAGACCATACCATTTTTACACAATCATGTATGTTCACAATCAATCCCAAGTATTCAAAATCATGAGGTAGGCCCCCAAAATCATGTGATTGGCTTAAATCGGGAAATTTTTAAAAAAGTAATACCTTTGGGGTTCTTTCTGTCTTTGGGGGATGTAGCATTTAGGGGTCACGTTCTCAAGCTTTTCTCCACAACCATGAAGGTTAGAAACAGTAGGGTTTGTTTTTAAATAAAAGCTGAGCATCTCACATCATCACATGACTCCAGGAGCTGGGGCTTTAAGGAAAGCACCAGATATTCCAAGAGTCACAGTAAAATTGCGCAAGCTGACAACATTGCACTTTTTCTAACCATAACCACATGTATACGCCTGATGCAAGCCCTTTAGAACTTCTTCCTGTGAGTGAAGCACTGTGTTGTGCAGATGTGCTCAGAACGGGGTTAGAAGGCTGGCAGCCTGTCTGTACTAGTGTTCCCATCAGCACTACTGCCATTGTAGCTCCACCAGTGAGAGCAGCCCTGGAAATATTTAGGAAAAGGCCTAGTTTTGACAGGGCCACCCAGAGAGGAGCAGTTTACCCCAAGAGCCTGTTTGAGAGGGCCCCCCAAACTGAGTGGCATTGAGACCTGACCAGGGGGCTGCAGTGCCACTCATGGAATTTGGCCTGGTGGGCCCTCCAACATGAGGGCCAAACCTGAGTGGTGCGGTGATCCCATGTGCCAGGTCACAATGCCCAGAGCGGGGAGCTGGGCCTAACCCCATGGGACAGGAGCTGAACCACTGCTGTGGGATGAGTGCGGGGTGGACTCCCCTCCAACCCGCCCCGAACCCCTGCACTGCCCTTCAGTGGTCATTTTTTTTTTCCAAAGGGAGGGCCTCAGTTTCAGATTTTACCCCAGGCCTCCCAAAACCCTCTGTTCAGCCCTGAGTGTCAGCACCCCCAAAGGGAACAGTCAGGAGGGAAGAATGACTGGAGCGTAGCGTGCAGGGCAGGTTACGTAGGAACAAGAAATGAGCAAAAGTGGAGTCAGAGGCTCTGGAGAGATTGGGGAACAAGGAGACATTTGAGCTGTAAGTGGAAAGTGAGGGGCAATCAGTGCAGATTCAAGAAGAGGGGAGGGAGTTGGGGCCAGCAGAAGGAAAGGAAGACTATCACGGCAGCGAAGTGTTAAATGGACCGGAGGGAGGAAGCAGGGGATGGCTAAAGAGGAGGAAGGTGCTGTGGCCAAGGCAGAGATTACTAGAGCAGGAGCAAAAGAAAAGGAGTACTTGTGGCACCTTAGAGACTCACAAATTTATTTGAGCATAAGCTTTCGTGAGCTACAGCTCACTTCATCGGACTAATACTTTGGCAGTGGGAATGGAGAGGGAAGGATACAGTTGGGAGATACTGTGTAGATAAGCAGCAGGATCTGACTATGAACACAGTGCAAGCCAAAGCAAATACATTTCTTCCATTCAACCTATTATAGAAGGTCTCCTAAGGCAGAAGTGAGGAAGAAAGACTAGAAAAATCAAGCCAAACCAGGAAGAACTGGGGCTGCCAAGTAAATGGATGTAGCTAAAGGCACTTCACCCATCCAGATTCCCAGTGTGATCTATTGGGAAGTGTTTCCCCTCTCTGCTCCTGTCTGGAGTATCTCCCAGGACAGAGCTCATCGGAATGAGCACAAAGTGGGCTTCTTTACTGGGGCTGCCGGACACAGACTGGCTCTGTAGTTGTCTCTGGTTCTGTAACAACCTGAGTAGCCAACCACAGCGTGTGCTGCCTGAAATCCCCACACAGGCCCCCCCAACCCCCAGTTACGTGAGCACTGCATTGTAAACCCGGGTCTGTGGGACCTGGGCTTGTGGACTCTGTTTTGAATACTGTGCTTGAGAGCCCATGCCAATGGTCCAGCTCAGAGAGCATATTGGGAGGGTGTGTCGCTGAACTACAGGGCTGGCGGTGAGTGTACGTTCAGGACATCGGAGTGCTCTGGGCCATTGCTAGTGGATGATGGCACTGGAGTATACTGGGTAGGATTCAGTGGTGCTTTGGGGTGCAGCTGTCACCACGGAGATGCTTGGGGGGCACTTCATGGGGCATGGTGTTGGACTGAGCCATTTTGCTATGGCAGACTGGAATGTGTGGGGTGTAATGGAGTGAATGCAGGAGGATTTCTGTGCAAACCGGAATGAGTCACTGAGAGGAGGACCTGACACTGTGGTGCTTTGAAGGATGTGTGGGGCAGGATGCAAGTATCTTACTCTGGTTCTTTGGGGGTGCAGGGCCCTGCACAGTATGTGGTGGCGTAGTGGGGTACACGTAGAATATTATGAGGCCATAGAGGTGGGATGCTGGGGTGCAGGTGGTGTAGTAACATGCAGAATTACAGTCAGCGCTCTGGGTTACTCACAGATTGCTGTATGGGAGATGGGGTTTGTGGGGGAATGCAGTGAAAACAGTGAAAACACTCTCAGGCAGCTGGACTGGAGGGAAGAGGAAGTGGGGCTAGGGAAGGAACCCTAACACCATAATGAGTGGATGATACAACCTCCCCTCTGAGGTAAACAAAGGCAGAGAGGGATGACTAACAACTAGAGCCACTGTAGAACCCTACACAGATAGGTCGGCTGGGGTGGCCTGAAGCTGATAACAAAGGGCCATGATTTGCATAGAGCTGGGTTGGGGGAGTGGGCTGGACATGCCATATCGCATCATATTCCTCCCCACTGTCAGTCTGTGTGTGGTGGATGGGTGGACGGAGCCCTGTGACCCTCTGGATGACCCACTGCGGTGGGCGAATCCCCTGAGTGGACCCCATTGATTTCTCTTTCCACTGAAGGGTTTTTGTCTCTCTCTTATCAGCATTTATCCCTCACTCCAGATTAATGAAGTTGGCAGCCTTTGTCTCTGGCCTAGCCCTAGTGGCCTGTGCCCTGGCTCTGGAGAATGGGCTCATGCGGGTGCCCCCGATGGGCTGGCTGGCGTGGGAGAGGTTTCGCTGCAACACTGACTGCAAGACGGACCCTGACAACTGCATCAGGTGAGTAAGGCAACGCCAGGGGCTGCGTCCGGAAGTGCTGTGTGCAGATGACGAGGGGTGAGGAGAGAAAGGAAGGTGAAAGGGCAAACTACCCCCACTTTTGGCTCGCCCTGCAGCTGAGGGCACCATGAGGAGTTCCCATGCTTCCCCTCTGTGTGTCAAGGGCTAAAGCATCACCTTTTTGTAGTGCTCTGTTTGAACAGTGTTTGATTTCAGAGCTTTGGAGAGCAAAGGCAGAGGGGAAACTCTGAACCTTGGGCTGAGTCAGTGTCCCTTCTCACCTCACTCAGGGACACCCCAAGCAGCGCCAGCATCCCCCTCCACTTCATCTCCTCCCCCCCATTCAGAGACACCTCAGTCAGAGTCCGTCCCTTCCATGCCCTATCTCCTCCCCACCCCTCACTCACCAGTCATGAGTCCCCCACCCTTGCCCCCACCACCTCTTTGCCAGCTGGGGGAAATAAAAGGCTTGGGTGGTAGGTATGGGGTTGGAGCAGAGACATTTGGGGGAGTGGCGGAGGAGGCTGCAGAGAAGCAGGAGCTAGGTTGTGCCATTGCATCCTGCTCAGGAGGATCTGAGGTGAGAGAACCAGACTCATTTCACTCGTGACTCAAGTCAGAAGTGAGGCAAAGATCACTAACCCCTGTACCATCACATCTCCGTGCCATGAAGAGTCATTTTAAAACATTGTGAAAGCCATTGAAATTGCCGCACTTGGTCGGTACACTGGTCCATCTCATCTGTCTCCCACTGTTAGCAGCACCAACATCTCCTGCTTCAGAGGAAGACTTAAATTGTCATCACATGCTTAATTGTGCAATATGGCATCCTGGAGGGACACTTCTTCCTGGCTGCAGCTGGGGGGAGTGTTACCTGCACACATTAGGGTACCTCACCTTTTCCCAGTCCATAGGGCTCCAGGCGAAAAGCACCTATCCTTACCCAATTTGTAGGGCTCAAAGCCACCCATACCCACTTTGTAGGGCTCAGGGTATAACTAACCTGGTCAATTTAAGTACCCACACCCTTTCCCAATACGTAGGGCTTCGGGTGTATACTACTTCTGCAGGACCTTTTACCAGTGAAAGAGCCTTACACAGTAATATACTATATAACTTCTGTTTATTAACAGTCACCAAAGACAGAGTGCACATGTTACACATACAGTGCCCACCACTCTCAATAAGACTGATGAACTTTTCTTGATGGCCAGTCAGGATCAGGTCCATCTGGGGGACTCCAGTTTCTGCACAGAGTCATTGGGAGAGTGTTGAGGTCTGGCAGCTCTGATCTTTGGGGCTGTGTCCTGGAGTAGTTCCCAAAGAACTTCCTTTTGGACCCCAGGTTATATAGTGAAATTTGAGTTCTTTTTAGCTATACCTTAACCAATCATTATACTAAACTTTTACTAACCAATCCTAACATAGTTTAACAAAATTCTTTGACCAATTCTACCCCACCACCTTAATGTACAACCAGCAAAATTAATTATGTAACAGACAGAAACAATTAAAGAACCACACAGAGACCATACAGATAAACAATAGGGAAGTGGGGACCATAATGACAAAACCATTAAAAAAAAAAGTTAAAAAAATGAGGATTTCATAACCATTGATAAGTGATTTCTTGACAAATAGGATGCTATCAAACTAAGTTTGTTTTTTTTAACCATCTTAAGATCTGTTTCTTTATCTGGTGATAGTGGGTGCCATAGGACAGGATCGCCTTCTTAACAGCCCGATATTACATTGTTTTAATGTAATTTAGATGGAATGTGAGGATGTGACTTCCTGCTTTTCAGCTAATTGCTGCTGCTTGGCTGCTCTTTTAATCTGGCTGCAGACGAAGGCCTTCGGCTTTAGGCCTTACAATATGGCTGCAGACATAGGCCTTATCCTTACAGGAGGGATGGGGTGCTCCACGTGTGACCTGAAGCCACAGGGTTGACATCCCTCTTAATTGTACTCCAGCTGGTGTCTCTGCATTTGCTGTTCTTATTCATGGAAATGTCAGATCTAATTTGGGAATCTCCTGTCCGGTGTATGGAATCCCAGCAGATCTTTCAACACCTCCCATAGAAACAAGACACTTTTTTTGAAGGGGAGGGACAATGTTTCCTCTCTCTCCCGGAGCAGAAACACCCTGGGGCCCCCATGCTGTGGGGAATCAGGATGCTGCTCGTTTCTGTGATGAGGCCACCAAGAAGTACTGTGCTTAAAGCAGCATGCCCTTTGGTCTTTGTAGCACCAGCCTGAGGTCTGAAACATTGTCAGCCGGTCCCTTGTCTTGACCCTGTAAAATGATCAAGCAGCCATTTCCCTGGCTCCGCTCCTCGCTCTTTGATCCTGCTGACAGTCGGGGAAGGTGGAGGAGGAGGATCTTGCAGTGTGGCCTGGTTGCAAAAGGACTCAGGCTCTGGAGCAGAGTATGCAGAGACCTCACAGCACGGGTGCCAAGCAGGGATTGCTGATTTACACAGAATATGAATGAGCCCGCTCTATGTATTTTTTTTTCCACTTAGCTAGTCTATATAATCATATGTTCCTATTACTGTGGCTCTTGCACAACCTCCCTCCCGCCCTGTGGTCGTTCTGTGACACCCCTTACAGCAGCTCATCTCAGATGCCAAGCTATTCTGCATGGTCACCACCTCCCAGCACTCTGCGGTGCTGGTCCTGCTTGGGGTCTCTGGATGCTACTGTAATACATATCATAACTGTAGCCACTCCCCCTGAGGGGTGGACAAAGCCTCCCCTGCCCTTTCTTCTCCCACCAACATTTGGAGCTTGTCCATTCTCTTTGCATCGCCTGGCTTTTTACTTCCTGATGTCTCCACTTGAGTGACTCCTTGCTGTGCCAGGTACATGGGGGGGGCCAGCCCCTGAGAAATCGGTGACCATACTACTAGCTGGCAAGGGGTGGAAAGCCCAGTACACAGGGGACAATAGAGTAAATAAAACAAATCCCAGCAAAGGAATGGCACACCAGAAATAACTGCATAACAAAGGTTTCAGAGTAGCAGCCATGTTAGTCTGTATCCATAAAAAGAAAAGGAGTACTTGTGGCACCGTAGAGACTAACAAATTTATTTGAGCATAAGAGTGACCAGGAAAGGTGAGCTATTACCAGCAGGAGGGGGGGGGGAAGGATGGGATCTTTTGTAGTGATGATCAAGGTGGGCCATTTCCAGCACTTTTCAAGAACAGTAGGAGGGGAAATACACAAGGGGAAATAGTTTTACTTTGTGTAATGACCCATCCACTCCCAGTCTTTATTCAAGCCTAAATTAATTGTATCCAGTTTACAAATTAATTCCAATTCAGCAGTCTATCCTTGGAGTCTGTTTTTGAAGTTTTTTTGTTGAAGAATTGCCACTTTTAGTGCTGGAAATGGCCCACCTTGATTATCACTACAAAAGATTCCTTCCACACACACTCCCGCTCTCCTGCTGGTAATAGCTCACCTTTTCTGGTCACTCTTGTTACAGTCTGTATGGTAACACCCATTGTTTCATGTTCTCTGTGTATATAAAATCTCTGCACAATATTTTCCACTGTATGCATCCGATGAAGTGAGCTGTAGCTCACGAAAGCTTATGCTCTAATAAATTTGTTAGTCTCTAAGGTGCCACAAGTACTCTTCTTTTTGCATAATGAAAGGGGAATTTATTAGGAACAGGAAGCTAGGATTTGGAGAAGGAAAGGGTTAACGTTAACTAATTGATAAACATGGATAAATAAGCCATGTCCCCACCTCCAAACACTCTCACACTCCTCCAACTCTGTCTTCCCACGGAAGATACTAGGCTGAGGTTGTGTGGCCTGAGATGGAGTGTTGCAGCGCTGTGGGATTGACTGACTTCAATAAAAGTCACCTTCATGGTTTTTTTTTTCTTCATCCCTGGGCGGGACAGGGTGCTCTCCAGACTCTGTCCAGGCCTGCTCTTCCCTGGCCTGGAATCCTCCTGCTCTCGACTGCCTCTTGGCAGCATGTGCAGGGTTGGATTGATCTCTCCCTGGACGCCGGTCCCTGCAATGCTGGAGCTGCCCGATCCATGCAACTAGAGTTTCAGAGAAGTGGGAGTTCAATGACGACTCCCTGATCCGCACTCGCTGTCTCTCTCCTGTCTGTCCAGGCCCAGATCATCATGCAGAAGCCTCCCAAGTCCCTGTTGTCCCTGGTAGGGGTTTCTAACTCCTTCTGCCCCCTCTCCTAGCTCCAAGCGGGCTGGGAATGGGGTGAGCAATATGACAGCAATTTGACAGCAATATGAGTTGTAGCCGTTTTGGTGGGGCCCCCCCGAGGCTCAGTCTGGAGCCCAGGAGCTGACAAACTCCAGGTGGGGGTCACATGGCCAACGAGGGAGGGGGTTAGACCATCTCCGTACAGGCCTCGTGAGGTCCCCACCAACGATTCCATGTTCTGTTCTGGGACCTCGGTAACGGAGCGAGATTGAGAAACTGGAGAGAATTTAAAGAACAAAACTGCTGCTGGGGTTGGAGGGGGTGACTTGAAAGGAGAGAGCGAATGGACAAAATGCATTGGTTTGCACAGGCCACTTGGGGACTGAGGGGCGGGATCTAGCTACTGTTGACAAATGCCTGGAGGGTGTAAACAGCAAGGTGAGGAAAGAGGGAGGATGGTTCAGTGGTTACAGCACTAGCCTGGGACCTGGGAGCCCCAGGTTCATTTTGCTGCTCCCCATAGACTCCATTGCCCCATCTTCCAAAGGGGGATAACAGCACTTTCCTATCTCACAGGGGTGCGGTGAGGATAAATGCATTTCACGTGGTGAGGGGCTCAGATACTACAGTCACGGGGGGCAGATAAATGCCTTACAATTGGTCAGACTCCGAGAGCTACAAGGAGGAGTAACGGGAAACATTTCCTATTGATGAGATCTGGTAGAGAAGGGAATAGACTCCCAGGGGAAGTGGACATTGCTGGAGTCCTTTAAAACGGGGCTGGACAAAGACTTTGAGATTCTGCTGTGGAGACCAGACCCCTGCACTGACAGTGACAGGGGAAGATGGAACCTAAAAGGTCTTTTCTGTCTTGGTTAAAGGTTCAATGACTCAATGGTTTTTGTAGTAGCCTTTGGGGCTAAAGAGGAGCAGGTGCTAAGTGTTGTTGTTAATAATGGGTTTATTTGTTTTGTTACCTCTGCCTGCTCTGAGCCTGTTCTCTCTCTCTCTCTCTCTCTCTCTCTCCCCCCATCCCCGAGGCAGCGAGAAGCTTTTTGTTGACATGATAGATTGTCTAGCGGATGATGGCTGGAAGGAGCTGGGCTATGTGTATGTGAACATAGATGATTGCTGGATGGCGAAGAAGCGGGACGCAAAGGGGCAACTGATCCCGGATCCTGAGCGGTTTCCCAGTGGGATCAAAGCCTTGGCGGATTACGTGAGCTGATTCTTTTCGTGTAAAGACAGGATCCAGAGAGGGAAGGGGATGGGGAGCAGGGTGGTATTTCTTGGTATTTCAGTCACATCACATCTCGTGGCCTTGAGGCATGAGGTCTGTGACCTGAGAGATGAGAGGTGACGTTGTAGAGCAGTGAGAGATGCTAAAGCACTGTCCACTCTGACACGTTCCCCCCCACAAACACACACCTGCCCCGAGTGGCAGCCAGGGATTTTCAGGCTCTCTCTCACAGCCCTGTCCTTTGCACAGGCGCACTCTCGGGGGCTGAAGTTGGGCATCTATGGAGACATGGGCACTTACACGTGCAGTGGCTACCCAGGCACCACGCTGGACCGGGTCGAACAGGATGCCCTGACCTTCGCGGAGTGGGGCGTGGACATGCTGAAGCTGGATGGCTGCTACTCATCAGAAGAAGAGCAGGCCCAGGGTAAAGACTGTCTCCTGGGCTGTGTGAACTTGGAGCCACGCCACTGTTACTGTCCTTGGTGTCAGAGAAACTGAGAAGACATTTTTTCTTTATGCTAAAGCAGAGGCTCTCGCAGCCTGTGGGCCACCCCAGATGGGGGCTCCTGCACATATCAGGGGAATGGGGCTGCCATCTCGATTCCTATTCACCATCTCCATAACTCATTGCATTGATGCTCACGGTGCTTCCCATGGGGCAGTCTCTGAGGACACTGGTGGCGTGTTTCAAGAGGGGCGTGCAGAAATGGCTGAACATGGGACTGTGGCTTGGTAAAAGGCTGAGAATCCCTCTGCTAATGGGCACAAACCCATGTCGTGTCCTTGTGCCTCCCATTCTGGATCTTCACCTCCGAGCTTGGTCCCTAGCTGGAATTTTAGAAGGTAGCCAAGATACCTGCTTTACAGTGGGGCTACAGAACCTTCAGAGATGAGCTTACATGTGCATAGGATGTTGTGGTGGGGGGGGTGGGGAGGAGGTTGTCCTTACTGGCCATAAGGCAGAGCTTTTTTTCTGCAGAAATCCCATTGGTGGCCAGAGAGTGGCTTGTCTGATGGGTCTGTGTTTTGGTGCGGGACCTGGTGGTTTGGCAGTGCTGATAGTGTGTGTGTGTGGGGGGGGGGGGATAGGTTTCAGCCTCAGGATCTGAGTATGGGTGAAGAAGCCCTCAAATATTTGATTTCTTAAGGAAGGCAGCTTCTGTTATTGGCCTCTCCCCTCCGCGCCCCCCCCCTCCCCCAATCCCTGAGCCCCTTTCTTTCCACTTGTGTGTCTCTTAAAATAGCCCATTCAAAATCCATGTAACTAGGTTCATCTGAGTGATCATTCCATAAAGGGCTGCTGTTTTCCCCCTGGTCAATGCCAGCCATTTCCTTGACCAATTGGATTTCTTGTCTCTCACAGGCTACCCTAAAATGGCAATGGCCTTGAATGCAACAGGCCGCCCCATTGCCTATTCCTGCAGCTGGCCAGCCTATCGGGGAGGGCTTCCACCCAAGGTAAGGCTCACCCTGGCAGATCCTGGGGTTCCTTTGATTTTCCTCTAAACATCCTGCACTGACTGTCCTGGGGGGAGCGTTGTATGAATTCCTAATGCCTTCCTTTCCTACCCCTCCTCCACCCCAGTTGCTATGATTGGCTTGTGGGCACTGATCTCCCAAAGGGACCGTGAGCCGTCAGACAGGCTGTGAATCCATGTGGAAGGATGCCAGGTCGGGGTGCAGGAGGAAGGGCAGTGGTACCAGTCTTCGGGCCATGTTGTTAATGTAAAAGGACACTCCTGAAAAGTGGTGATGTCTACAGGAGAATCACTGAAGTTAAATGTGGAAAAGAGGCCTGTAGGACACCTCTTGTCCATCCATATCCCAACCAACCCAGGATCATTCCCTACCCATCTATTCTTCAGAGTTTCAGAGGAACAGCCGTGTTAGTCTGTATTCGCAAAAAGAAAAGGAGTACTTGTGGCACCTTAGAGACTAACCAATTTATTTGAGCATGAGCTTTCGTGAGCTACAGCTCACTTCATCAGATGCATACCGTGGAAACTGCAGCAGACTTTATATACACACAGAGAATATGAAACAATACCTCCTCCCACCCCACTGTCCTGCTGGTAATAGCTTATCTAAAGTGATCAACAGGTGGGCCATTTCCAGCACAAATCCAGGTTTTCTCACCCTCCACCCCCCCACACAAATTCACTCTCCTGCTGGTGCTAGCCCATCCAAAGTGACAACTCTTTACATAATCAAGTCGGGCTATTTCCTGCATAGATCCAGGTTTTCTCACATCCACCCCACCCCCATACACACACAAACTCACTCTCCTGCTGGTAATAGCTCATCATGAATAGGTCGGAATATGAACAAGAGGCTGCTCGGCAGCTCTCCAACACGAGTTTCTACAAGCCATTACCCTATGATCCCACTGAGAGTTACCAAAAGCAACTACAGCATTTGCTCAAGAAACTTCCTGAAAAAGCACAAGATCAAATCCGCACAGACACACCCCTGGAACCCCGACCTGGGATATTCTATCTACTACCCAAGATCCATAAACCTGGAAATCCTGGGCGCCCCATCATCTCAGGCATTGGCACCCTGACAGCAGGATTGTCTGGCTATGTAGACTCCCTCCTCAGGCCCTACGCTACCAGCACTCCCAGCTACCTTCGAGACACCACTGACTTCCTGAGGAAACTTCAATCCATCGGTGATCTTCCTGATAACACCATCCTGGCTACTATGGATGTAGAAGCCCTCTACACCAACATTCCACACAAAGATGGACTACAAGCCGTCAAGAACACTATCCCCGATAATGTCACGGCTAACCTGGTGGCTGAACTTTGTGACTTTGTCCTTACCCATAACTATTTCACATTTGGGGACAATGTATACCTTCAGATCAGCGGCACTGCTATGGGTACCCGCATGGCCCCACAGTATGCCAACATTTTTATGGCTGATTTAGAACAACGCTTCCTCAGCTCTCGTCCCCTAAAGCCCCTACTCTACTTGCGCTATATTGATGACATCTTCATCATCTGGACCCATGGAAAAGAAGCCCTTGAGGAATTCCACCATGATTTCAACAATTTCCATCCCACCACCAACCTCAGCCTGGTCCAGTCCACACAAGAGATCCACTTCCTGGACACTACAGTGCTAATAAACAATGGCCACATAAACACCACCCTATACCGGAAACCTACTGACCGCTATTCCTACCTGCATGCCTCCAGCTTTCACCCTGACCACACCACACGATCCATCGTCTACAGCCAAGCTCTGCGATACAACCGCATTTGCTCCAACCCCTCAGACAGAGACAAACACCTACAAGATCTCTGTCAAGCTTTCTTACAACTACAATACCCACCTGCAGAAGTAAAGAAACAGATTGATAGAGCCAGAAGAGTTCCCAGAAGTTACCTACTACAGGACAGGCCTAACAAAGAAAATAACAGAACGCCACTAGCGGTCACCTTCAGCCCCCAACTAAAACCCCTCCAACGCATTATTAAGGATCTACAACCTATCCTAAAGGATGACCCAACACTCTCACAAGTCTTGGGAGACAGGCCAGTCCTTGCCTACAGACAGCCCCGCAACCTGAAGCAAATACTCACCAACAACCACATACCACACAGCAGAACCACTAACCCAGGAACTTATCCTTGCAAGAAAGCCCGTTGCCAATTGTGCCCACATATCTATTCAGGGGACACCATCACAGGGCCTAATAACATCAGCCACACTATCAGAGGCTCGTTCACCTGCACATCCACCAATGTGATATATGCCATCATGTGCCAGCAATGCCCCTCTGCCATGTACATTGGTCAAACTGGACAGTCTCTACGTAAAAAAATAAATGGACACAAATCAGATGTCAAGAATTATAACATTCATAAACCAGTCGGAGAACACTTCAATCTCTCTGGTCACGCAATCACAGACATGAAGGTCGCTATCTTAAAACAAAAAAACTTCAAATCCAGACTCCAGCGAGAAACTGCTGAATTGGAATTCATTTGCAAATTGGATACTATTAATTTAGGCTTAAATAGAGACTGGGAGTGGCTAAGTCATTATGCAAGGTAGCCTGTTTCCTCTTGTTTTTCCTACCCCCCCCCCCCCCCCAGATGTTCTGGTTTAACTTGGATTTAAACTTGGAGAGTGGTCAGTTTAGATGAGCTATTACCAGCAGGAGAGTGAGTTTGTGTGTGTATGGGGGTGGGGGGGATGTGAGAAAACCTGGATCTATGCAGGAAATAGCCCGACTTGATTATGTAAAGAGTTGTCACTTTGGATGGGCTAGCACCAGCAGGAGAGTGAATTTGTGTGGGGGGGTGGAGGGTGAGAAAACCTGGATTTGTGCTGGAAATGGCCCACCTGTTGATCACTTTAGATAAGCTATTACCAGCAGGACAGTGGGGTGGGAGGAGGTATTGTTTCATATTCTCTGTGTGTATATAAAGTCTGCTGCAGTTTCCACGGTATGCATCTGATGAAGTGAGCTGTAGCTCACGAAAGCTCATGTTCAAATAAATTGGTTAGTCTCTAAGGTGCCACAAGTACTCCTTTTCATTCTTCAGAGTGTTGTCCAGTTTTGAATGTCTCCAGTGATTGGCCTTCCACCAACTCCTCTGGGAGACTCCTCCATAGTGGAGCATGAGTTTTACCTTGGCACACTCTCATTCCACCCTCGCCTGCACTCTAGGCCTTTGGATCACCCTGATCAATTCCTCTCCGCCCCCTCCTTATTGCTTACACCCTTCAAGTGTACTCGTGGATGGTCATTGTGTCTTCCCCCATCCCCAGTTACCTCTAGCTGGTTAGCCAGGCTGTACGACTTTTCCCACAAATGAGGCACCTTGCCCCTTAGTTGCTTAGTGTTGCACTTCTCTGAATTCCCTCACATCTATCAACACCTTTTGGGCCCTGAGGCTCTCAGAACTGAGCCCAGCGTTCCTACTGAGTCTCACCGGTGGCTTCTGAACTAGCAATGATACATACAGTGGGGCTGGGGGGAGGGGTGGTATTTTTCCCCCCTCCCCATAACAAAGGTGCATCCCATAGTGCTGTGGGCACATCCCCCCTCTCCCATTCACCTGAGCTCCTCTCCCTCCCCCGCCGTACACCTTGTTCTCTTCCAGGTGAACTACACCCTCCTGGCGAACATCTGTAACCTCTGGCGTAACTATGGTGACATTCAGGACTCCTGGAACAGCATCCTCTCCATCGTGGACTGGTTTTCAGCAAATCAGGATGTGCTGCAGCCGGTGGCCGGCCCTGGCCACTGGAATGACCCAGACATGGTAACTTTGTGCTGTGGAGGGGAGGGTCTCCAGGGATTTCTTGTCTAGAAGCAGGGTGGAGAATTGGCAGGAATTCGTTAGCCCGTGGCACACCATACAGGTCTGTAGGCTGCCAGAGCTACCTAAGCCGTATGCCACATCCCTCATCCACCCTGAAAGGCCCTGTCTAGATTAGGGGCAAAGTGGGGGTTTAAATGTGTTAGTATTTTAATTAATGCATATTTAACATCACTAAGCACAGATGGGAATGGGCACCTTTATGACTGTGTTAGCTGGGCATGCTCCACCCGCGGGGGAGGGAAAGGGCTTGCCAGGATGCCAGTGGGCTGGGTCCTGCCACTGAGAGCAGCAGTTGTCTTACTAATGTGTACCCCGCCCTCCCTTCTGCTCTTCCTCTCTCTCCCTCTCCGCCCTCCCCGTCTGTGCCACAGCTGATCATTGGAAACTTTGGCCTCAGCTATGAACAGTCCCGATCCCAGATGGCCTTATGGACGGTGCTGGCTGCCCCGCTCTTCATGTCCACGGACCTCCGCACCCTCTCCCGCAGCTCCAGGGAGATCCTGCAGAACCGACTGATGATCAAAATCAACCAGGACCCCTTGGGAATCCAGGGACGCAGAGTCCTTAGGGTACAGAAGGGAGCATGTGGGAACCTGATAGCATGAGGGCCCAGGAGAGGGAAGTAGATGGGGGAATAGCTGTTGAGAGGGCCTAGCTGGGCGTCAGGGGAGAAGGTGACCCGAGCCTGGGAATGGCTATGGTTAGCTGGGGATTTACAGGGTTAGTATAATATTGGGGAGGCCTCCACAGGCGGAGGGGAGGTGCCCCCGGGAACGCTTGAACTAAGACGCGCTTGTTAAACAGCTGTAGTATTACTCTCCTCCATTTGCACCCCACTGGACTTGGCTGCTTGGTTTGACCTCCAATGCCCGCCCTTGTCTGTTAGTTTGGAAAGAGTTAATCTTGGTGCTCTGGGCCCACCGGTGGGTAGGGCAGCCACTAAACTACCCGAGTTCACTCCCTCCTGCTGATGCCTGGTGTATCAGTGTCTGGCTGGTCCCCTCGAGCCCAACAGAGAGACTTGATCTGTGCTGCTTCTGGGCCCCTGCCAGGGCAGGTTCATGAGCCACCCCAAGAGCTGATGAGCGTTTGGGGGAGCGGGTGGCAGCTGCAGAGAGAGGTGCAGAGAAGCTGGAGATGCACCTAGACTCCCTCTCTCTGCTCCCCCTGTGCTTCCCTAGGAGAAGTCTCAGATCGAGGTGTTCCTGCGTCCGCTTTCCCACTCAGCCAGTGCCCTGGTCTTCCTCAGCCGGCGGACAGACATGCCATACCGCTACACCATCTCCCTCAGCAAGCTCAACTTCTCCGCCAGTGCCGTGTACGAGGTGAGCAGGGAAAACACAGCAGGTCCGGTCCCATGCCAATGCCCCTGCCGTGCAGGCCACTTATCTCCGCGGAGCGGGGAGCCCAGCCCCCATGTTCACGCACGATGCTTTGGGGTTCAGAGTCCCCCTCCTACTCTCTGCCCCTGAACGTAGTGTTTGTCCTGTCTCCCCACCCTCAGCCTCACACAACATGTAGTACTGTTGGAGACCACAAGCCAAGTCCACACACCCAGTTACCTACACGCGCTGGGGCTGGGATTTATTCCCTCCCCTGGCATAGTCATGCCAGGGATTAGGCTGCACTCTGAATGCTGCAGTCCTGAATGCGGGCAACTGGGCCCTACACATTGTGGGGGTGGGGAAACACCTACAAAGCTCCTGCCCCTATTCTTACTCCAAGATGGGGAAGGAGGGGATGGGGTGGCGAGTGACTGTACCAAAACACTGACTAGCCTGGCTCTGGGACTTCGATGGTGTGCTTGCAGTTAGGCTGTGGTCCTCGTGGCTCTCACGGACTAACGTGGGTTACATGAGTGTGTGGATGAGAGATTTCTAGGAGGTGATGGGGGAGGGTTATCCTGTGCCTTTGGTTTCTTAGGCACATTCTGACTCTGGGTATTTTCAATGGAGCCGTTCCCACTCCTGCAGCCTCTGATCAAAATCCCTTGGGGTTGGATCCAGTAGTTTGCCCTTGTTGTGTAGCCTTACTGTGCCCTGCTTATTCGGCCTGCCAGAGCGGGCTGCGCTTACTGGGATCTCTCATCTGCCTTGGAAGTAAATGGGGTTTTTACATACTTTTGGGATGAGAGGCATCATGGAAATGCTGGTAACAACCATGTCTCTTCCAGGCACAGGATGTGTACAGTGGCGGGATCATCAGCGGCCTGAAGGCTGGAGAGAACTTCACTGTCATCGTCAACCCCTCGGGAGTAGTCATGTGGTACCTCTATCCCACAATGTACGTGGATCAACCCTTGGACTTTGTCAGACAGCACCCCCAGGGGAAGGGCTTCCACCCATTTGCACTGTGAAGCCAATCGGAGGAAGAGGATGGGGGGCCAGCTGTGGGTACATGTTGCTCTCTGGCCAGGAGCGACTCCTAATGATCTACATTTACCCGCTTTGTGCCTTAGTTTTCCTCTCTGTCAACCAGGGAGAACTGTTAACCCTCACCTCACGCCTGGGAGGTAGGTAATTCATTACTGATTGTAAAGTGCTTTGAGACCCTTCCCTTGATGGTGCCAGACAAGTGCAGAACGCAGTCACTGTGAGCAATTGCTAACTCTCGCTAATTGAACACTTGCTAGAGGAGCTGCATGTAGTATCGCAGCTCAGTGAAGAGGTCATTTCCCCTAGATTTGCAGTAAGGCCTTCGATCTGACCCCTGCTATACCTGTCATGAGGAGTGAGTCTCCCTGGAGGTGCTATACTGGCAATCACATGTTCCATGCGGGGGAACTTTTCTACCCAAGATCGTCCCTAGGCATATGCAGAATACGCAGCTGCATAGGGCACCATGAAATGTGGGGCACCAAATTGCTCCAAATTTTATGGTGCCCTAGGCAGCTGCATGCATACGCGGCAGCACCAGCTCTGGCAGCCAGCCCTATTCCCCAGCTGGCCCACTCACGGGCTGTGCCCACTGCAAGGGGCAGGGCCATCCCTGGGGGGTGTGGGGCCTGGGACAACTCCCTCCACCCCATCTCTTTCCCCCTGCTCCACCCTGGGCCCACCTCCATTCCACCCCTTCCCCCCCGCGCTGGAAGCAGGGGTTGGGCCTGACCCCGGACTCTCCGGCAACGGCAGGAAGCGGAGCAACCCGGCCCCAGCCCGCTCCACTCCACCAGCTCCCAGCTGCGTCACTCCGCTTCCCACTGCCAGTGAGTGTGCGGGGCGGTCCTTTCCCCTCCCACAAGCGACATGGCTGGGAGCCGGGGCGGCGAGAGCGGAACGGGTTGGGGCTGGGTCGCTTCACTTCCCACTACTGGTGAGTGCGGCCAGGGGACGGTCTTTTCTCCAACCCCTCACGACTGGGGCTGGGTCGTCCTGCTTCCTGCTGTGGGTGCCAGGCCCCCCCTAATCCCCTGGGCTCCATGTGGGGCCCCCCACAGCTCCTGCCTCTGTCGTTCTGCAGCCCTTGAGTGTGGGCGTCCCCCTCCCTCTGGAGGGCCGGACCCCCCGGGGGAGCTCTGGCTGCATAGGGCACCATAATTTATAGGGACGGGGCTGTTTCTACCATTTCCTTCGCTTAGAATGACAACTTCCGGCAGTTGAACTCACCCCCTGCCAGTTGTGAAAGCATTAACGCCTGCAGGAGGCAGCATTGTCCGGTAGCCAGAGCAGGGCCCTGGGCGTTAGAAACTCCTGAATTTCAATGTTGCCTCTGCACATACCCCAGCAGTTGCTAAAGGTGATGTCTGCACTACCCCTGCTACAGTGGCACACTTATGGGGCTGCAGCACCCTTGTGTAGACACTTCCTGCACTGATGGGTGGGGCTTTTCCATTAGAGTTGTCAATCCCACCTCTCCAAGAAGCGGGTGGCTAGGTCAATGTCAATAGCAGGGGCTAGACCAACCTAACTGCTGTGCTCAGGGTGTATAATTTGTCACAGCCCTGACCCATGGAGCTAGGTTGATCTAATTTTTAAAGTGTAGACCAGCGGTTCTCAACCCAAGACCCAATCAACACACAGCTGCGGCCTATGTGACATCCTCACAGCCACACAGGTAGTATCTATGTTGTGTGGATGCGGCCATTGTAACACCCAGAGAGCTGCATGTGTGGCCCACAATGGTAGATCAGTTGGGGACCACGGGTGTAGACCAAGCTTTAGTTTCCCCATCTGTAAATTGGGGACAGTACCACTCAGTACCACATGAAGATTATTAGTCATTTTTAGCACTTAACATCTTCCAAGTGCCCTACAAATAGGAGCTGGGTCATCCCAGAATCTGAGCTTGGGTGAGCCTTAGTATTGCCCAATATTGAGGCACAGGAAGGCTATACAATAAATCAATGGCAGAGCAGAAATTAAACAGGACTGCCTGGCTCCTGCTCACCCAGCCTGCCTCTTCAGTTAATTCACAGGGTGGAGATTTACAGTGTTCTCCATTGATTTATGCCTTATCGGCCTTAGAAAAACACTACTGCTCAATGTACACAGCAGAGAAAGCAGCAGTGTAGCGTCTGGGTCACTGCCTGACTGGGGCTCGGAACCACTTGTGCCCCCCACCATCTTGTCCAGGGGAGAATTGCCTCATGTTAGCACTAGCCTGTCCAGCAGCTGAGCTGGTTGTTCCTGCTGGATGGGGACAGGCTCCCTTCCTTCTCAAGCTGCCCAACATTCCAGGATTTCTCAGGGAAAGGCAGCTGTGTACATATTTATAAGTTTCCATGACCAATAGCCTTTTACCATTAATACACTGCCAGGGGACTGCGTTAGGTGCCTGTCACTTGCATTATGGGCCTCAGACCACAGCTGGTTGCACTCCATTGTCTGAAAGGGAACCCTGTTCCTATGTGTGACACTATGTTGTGCTAGAGAATTAATGTTTGAATAACATGTGTGTATGGGCAGAAGAGGAACGTTGATAGGCTATTTTCCTTCCAGTTACAACATTCCACTAGCTTCTTCATCCCTGCTGGGCCCAAACTGACAGGTCAAGGGCTGGGGGAAGGGCTAGTCTGGGAGAATTCTGCACCAATTAAAAATTCTGCACCCAATATTAAAATTTTTCAAAATTCAGCATATTTTATTTGTCAAAATAATGTAATCATACTAGCTTCAATTATTTAGGTCACTTATTTAAACTACACTACAATGGCTGGAGAAGGGGAGTAAGTAGCATTGGAGGAAATCCCCAAACCCCCTTGCCTTATAGTAATGTCGCTAGGTTTGACCCTTTATTTCCAGTTATTAGTCAACCAATATATGCAGCCATGTGCTCAGTGTTACATCAGAGGCACCTGACAAGCAAGTGAGGGCTGGGGATATGGGCTACTGACCACCCCAGGAAGGTCCGTAGCAAACAGTTCATGGAGCACATTTTTTCAGTCCAAAAATTTAGACCAGTTCTAATCACTAAAACACATGAGCATTTATAAGGCCATACTGTCCTTTACAGCACTCTGGCACTGTGAAGGAGCCTTAAAACTTTTACACCTGTTTTATACTCCAGGGGGAATTCACTAAGTAGGCAGGCTGCTACATTCTGCTCCTCAAGAACACCCTGAAGGCCCACCCCTCCATGCCCAGCATACTGCAATAGCAAGCGAGAGGGACAGAGTGTGTCTCTCTCTCTCTCACACATACCTGCCCAGCTCCCCTCCCCTCCTGGCAGTAATTTATGTCTCTACCAGCTGCTCTGGGTGCTTGCACCAACCTGCCTGTGTTGCCAGAGAGGGGTGTGACCACTCTTGCAGTTTTCCTTTACTTCCCCATCAGAAGTCATTTTTCTACAGAGAAGCAAATCTGCAGGGGAGATGAATTCTGCACATGTGCAGTGATGCAGAATTCCACCAGGAGTAGTATGGGCTTAGCTCCTCACTCAGGAAGAAGAATGTTTCAGAACACTAGGCACCCTCTAGGCTGGATAAATGGGACAGACTGCAGCATAAGGTTTGGAGGAATGTGTGGTATAGCCGATGTTAACTGGTGGATGAGGGGACTTTGCAACAGGGCTCTAAGCCAGGCTTTTGCATGCACCAAGTGACACCAGCAAATGGCTGCCCACTGCTCTCCCCCTCTCCCATATAGCAACCTACCTAGGACTCTGATAAGTAACACCTGTCACACTGCAGTAGGCTGTACTGTTGCTACAATAGGAGATACCCATGCTTAAAAAAAGCTGGCCTTGGCCATTTTGGACAGAACCACAAGAGTCTTTTTATTAGTGCACTACAAGCTGCAGGACAGGCCTGAGGAGCTCAGGAGAATCTCTACAAGGTCCCCACCAGGGCAGAAGTAGAAGCCAGCTGCTTGTTCCTTTCCACTTCAACAAGCTCATAATCTTGTTTATGTTTTCAAGGCTTCCTCTGCAAGGAAAAGGGCTAGACACCTGCTGTAGGACAGACATTCTGCAGTCGCTGCACAGTTTCCCCTCCCCCCCCCCAGCACTGACCATAGGGAGTGGTACAGGCTTTGCAGAATCAGCCAGGTGCTGGTGAAGAGAACTCTAAACATTGCTTTCCAATTAAAATAAATGAAGGACTGATTGCACTTGAGCACTGTAGGCAGGGCAGTAGGTTCTAGCTCTGTTTTATTTTAGCTAGAGATGTGTCATAGATCTGTGTTTTACTGGAACTCCTGGCTGACTAAGCAGCATAAAATATGTTACCAGCTAGCATGGGGGTTATCACCTATGCTAGGAACTGGAGCTGTATACATTAAAGAGGGTGAGCTGATGCAGAGTAGGGCCTCCTTTGAAAGTGATTATGGGGCCAGGTTAATTCTTAATGAGGACTCAGGCTTCACTGCTGCAATCAATCAGTGTTTTGTAATGAAAAGTCCTCTCTCAAACCTGTAACTTTGTCTACAATAAAAACAACGAACTTAAGATTTTCTCTTCCTGTGTAAGAGTCACTGTTCGATCTTCCTTTTAACCTGGCCCCACAAAGAAAATCTAGCAAGTCAAGTTATGATGTATGGACTTACTTTCTGTCCTCACTCAGTCTGTGTAGGGCCTATATAAACAGTGCAATTCTTCTGACGACTGTTACTGGCCAGAAAACATTCCCAGAGCAATAGTTGTCTCTCTCACCACCCCCACACACAGATGTCACTCACCAGAGTTTTAAGGAGGCTGGTGCCAGCTTTGGACTCCTTTCACCTCTTCACTAGATGCATACTGGGAGTTGGAGCAGCCCACCAGAGGACAGCGGAGAGAGTGGCCCTGTCCATCCTAACAGCTCCTGCTGCAAGCTCAAAGAAAGGCTTAAAATTTTCTCCTTCCCATTAGACAGAGGACTCAGTATATGCTACTGAGCCAACCAACCTGGCTGCAGGCAACAGCTGGCTGCTGTCACACTTTTGCCAAGAGCCTCTTACTTTTCCTCCTCTCCTCACACGGCATTGCAAACCAAGGTAATAGGGTCAAGCCCACCACTGAAAACATGTCACGGGATCTGGGTAAGACACTGTGCTAGTCTGATGGCAGGTAGGACCTGAGGCACATTTAGTACCTGAACTAAAGCCTCACTCCAGCCAAAGCTTTCAATCAAATTACAGAAGACAGATGTGGGTTCTGCATGTCCTACAACTTGGAGTGTTGTAACAGGGCTCCCTGACAGCCGTAGCACAGAGGTAGCAATTCTCAGCCTTGAGTCTGTGATTGTCCCAAGCCTGCCTTCACTCCTATCTTCAGCAGAAGCGGCCATAAGCAGCTTTGACTGCTTTTTCTCCAGCTACCTACCCCACTTGAAGCTATCCCACATTTGGTGCTGCTTTTTCAGCGAAGCAAGTCTGGGATGCACAAGACCAGCTGTACGAGTGGAGGTGAATGTGGAAGAAAGGTATTTTGTCCCCAGGGATTTAACCTACACCCAGAAGATGGAATAGCTGATTACCATCACAACTGGGCAGTGGGGAGAGAACTGGGGACCTTCCACTTTTGCTCCTTAACTAATAGAGAATCAGTGCTGGCTGTGGGACCAGGGCAAACAAGCCCTTGGAAACAGCTGCTTACAGAAGAGTCACAAGAATACTGCATTAGCAGAGAGCTCTCACAGCCCCCGTTAGTGGTGCTTGACATGCCCCAAGAAAGGGGTAGTGTGCCAGTTTGAGTTAACTAGGACATTAGTTACAGCAGTAAAGGCAGTGATGGTAAAAGGCAGCCTCCCTCCTCTCACGACCTAAGGGATAGGCTATAACCACAGCCTGAGGTGCAAGTGGAGTGGGATTTTTAACTAAAGGCCATTTTCCCACTCTAGTTCTGCAGAACAGCTAAGCAGTGCTCAGTTGGGAAGGGGGAGGGAGGGACCATGCATTGGTCACAAAGCCACAAAAACAATCCCACAACCAATTATGGGGTTTTTGCAATTCTTATCCTATCCGTTCCATTTTTCTTGCCCATCGCACAGCAAGCTGTTGGTTACTACATCAGAACACGCACACCACTGAACTGACGCACAGGCCTGAAGATTCCAATGCTTCTGTATTAAAGTGCAATGCAAAAGATATTACAAACATTGATAGTGGAACATTTTTAATTCCAGAAAGTTAGAGAATCTTTGACTCAGATTAAAAAGGCTTCTTAGAAAAGGAAGTTCCTCCCTTGCAGATGGCTGCTATGCGGAGGAAGGTCAGGCAGCTACAGGAATACACACAGGTTGTGTGAGCTTTGCTTGTACAATAGCCTAGCACGTAGGGAGCAAAGGGGGAAAAACAGTCCCTACCCCTGAGTGAGAACCGAGTGGGGAGTGGCTGAGCAGGCCCTACACTGGGAGTCAGAGGTTCTCCACTAGACAAGTGTGATTCTCTTTGGAGAACAAGTTTGCAGGGCATCAGTTCCTAAGGGAGAATAGAAGGTCCCAGCTGAGTTGCTCTATTCTCAGTAACAGCTGAGGGTTAGCAGTAACATCTACATTACAAAAAATACTGGTTATTGATGGTGAACGGGCACCGCCTCACCACAAGGGGATGCCACGCAAGCAGTAAAGAGCCATCCAGTTACCCTACCTCCATTGAAGAAACAAACCCACCCCACCCACCGAGATTCTCTTCCTCACCCCCACTACTGTTCAGATGCCAGCACATTCACACCAGCATGGCTTTAGTTGCATGTGGAGGGAAGACAGACCGCTCTCCCATCTCCACCCACCCCCCAGTGCTTTCTAGGAAAGCTAGCCCGGGGTATGAGGCTCCTCAGCAGGCAGAGCAATAGTTTCTGATCCCATCCCTATGGTGAGGTTATGCTCTCCTTGGTGAAACGTGCTGTCAGAGTAGAATACCCTAATACTTCTCACTCACCCGCACCTGCAGCGTGGCTGCTGCTGCACAGAGGGGCCAGTTTCTAGGAGAATGAAAGGAAGACTTGGATTAATTTCCACTCCCATTTGCTCAGAGCTCTGTAGCCCAGATTCCACTCCCCTCCACCCAGTCCCAATTTGCTTTTCTACTGCCCATCTACACGGAGATGCTGCTTTTAGAAAGCCACTGCCTATTTCCAGGTTAGACGCACGAGTTTCTCCCAAGTCTTTCATCGGCCGCCTGCATCAGGTGGCCACAAAGTCTGGCTTTCACTGCACTGAAGAGACCTGCTAACACATCCCCCTCTCCTCAAAAGTACATTTACAATACAGAAGAGAAGCTTCTCACAACAGAGTGGAGGAGGAAGAACCAGGCATCCTTGGATGTCTGCACACCCCAGCAAGTGGGGCATCTCGCCTCTTCCAGCCATCACCCGTTTTGAGAGAGGCAGGTTTCCTGGGAAAGGAGACAGGTGCATACAGGGGGCTTTGCAGTGTCCAAGGCAGGTATAAAACTGCAGCTGTGTTAGCTCTTCTTGCCTGCAGGGCCAGTGATTTAGCCAAAGCCAGTTCATACTTCCCTTGCTCCTGCTGCTGAGTTAGCATTGTACTTGGCCTCTCCACACTGAAGCCCACACTGCAAAATGCTTAACTAGGCTGAGTGTGTCTCAGGAGTCTTCCCAGGTTACAGTGTGGCCCAGTACAATGAAGCTTACGTGACACAAGCCTCCAGCACTTCACTCGATTCCTTAAAAAGGGAACAGCACCAATGAAAAATGTAACGTGCTCCTCTTTTATACCAACATGGGGAAACCCAGCAGCCCATTGCCTCTTTCCTTCTCACTTACTGTTGCCTCAGAGGAAGTTTAAAACCACTCTCTCAAACCATTTTACTTCATTCAAAAAAATCAAGAAGCTGTAATGTTGTATTCCTACATTACTGATGTGCTTTCTCTGCTGGCCTAAGACTTCACCCCCACCCCCAAACTCATGGTAAAAGCCTCGGAGAGACAGCGCTCTGGCCCTGGGATGTAAAGCAATCAGGCAAGAATACACTGCTGCTTCTGCTGTTCTACTTGTATGGTCATGCTCAAATGTTTAAAGAGGGCAGGTGTTACGTCGCCCATTGCTATGTCTATTATATACACGCATGGAAGCCTAGAGATACACTGAATGAGGGGGTGGTGGTGAGGACAGAAGTGTCTTTGGGGAGAAGGAACGTGAGCAGTTGGTGAGTGGGTTCCTTCCGTTAGTTGTTCTTTTTCTCAGCAGGAGGTGCATAAGGAGGCGGCTGGTCCTGCAAAGTGAGAAAGGATCAGTCACCACGTCTCTTTTATCTAGAATCAGCAGCGTTGTGTGTAGCCGTTCAGCTTTCCGAGCATTCCCAGGCTTAGCTTAATGCACCAAACCTTTGCCTTCGGCTACAGCTTGAGAGATACTGAGCTGACAGTGACAGGTGTGAGGCCTGTATGTTAGGCTACAGCTACCCATAGCCATGTCTTCCCAGTTTCAGTTACGTCCCAGAACCTCTGCCAGTTCCCACAATGCTTCAAATGAGGCACCACACACAAAAAAAGATGAACACAAAAAGAGTCCCTTTAAAAGCCCATCAGAACGGGTGTATTTCAGAAACAGCAGCGCTGTGACTGGACGTTGTTTTAATCCTCATCTTCCTCTCACCCTCCCCAGTGACTGTGGTTCCTGTAGCAGTTTGTTAGGACAGATCTTGTCTGTCTCCCCTAGCCTAGAACAGTCTAAACCTGCATTACCCCTTCCCTTTAAGTGCCTAAATCTGGCTACCCCCATTCTTGCAGAAGCGGAGAACTATATATTGTTTCTGTATAGGAACAACTTTCATGAAGGTCTTAGAGTTCCCTCCCTTCTTGATCAGAAAAATACTAAGACGGATTCCAGGAACAGTGATTGAGTATTTTGAGGAGCCTTCTTTGTAGGAAAGAGTGGATAGACCATTTCTAAATAGCATGGTAAAACAAAGTGACTGTAAACCTCCTGCTTTGGGGAACCAATTGCCTGTGGGGGGTCAGGAAGAAAAGAGACCTAGACCCATCTTAGTTCAACTGATCTGGTGCATGTGGGTGGGTCCACTCTCCTCTTGAGGATCAAGCACTGCCCGCAGCTAGACTAGATGGGCAAACAGCCTGCTTGGATACACCCAGAAGCAGTACTTGTGGCACCTTAGAGACTAACCAATTTATTTGAGCATGAGCTTGGATACACCCAGAAGAAGGATACTAGACTTGGTGTGATGTGGCACGGCATGGGCTATGCACTGTGACTTCAGCATCTGCTGCAGTAAGATGACAAGCTGCCCAGGATTCAGCTGTAGCAGCTGAACAGCAAGTGCGTTAGCTCCTCTTACCCCTTTGCCCTCCAGCCCAACAGACAACTCAACCAGTTGCTTACCATAGGCATATAGACATTGTGGGGATTGGCTGGGTTGTAATAGGCACTCGAAGCTGCTTCTGCTGCTTTACTGCCACCTACAGAGTAAGGCCAAAAAACAAAAACAGTCTTCCTAAGTGCTTTACAAATAGCAAATTCAGCTTCCCAGCCCCCCACCTAACAGAGAGAGCATACCTATTTTTCAGATGGGGAAAACAGAGTCCTAGACAAGTTAACTGGCTTTTCTAAGGTCACAAAATAGGTCTGTAGCAGAGCAGAGAATGGAACCCACATCTCCCAGCTGTGCTTAAACCACCAGACAATGCTTCCCTGTTAACAGATATCCTGGGCTTTACAGCTCTCTGGGAGTAAGACAAGTCTCCCCTCACATCAGCTAGGTCACACTTGATTTTAGCCTTAAGATAACCCCAGCATAGTTGTGGAACAACTATGTAGAACTGTGGCTATTAGCCAGGCATAATGCTACACTATAAAATGAACTGATAGTATCTGGCAGCAGTTTGACCTATACCTGTGGTCATCAATGCAGACCACCTGTTCCAAAAGGATCCCCAGGTAACACTTTCAGTAGAGTCTCCTTCCTGCTCTAGCAGGTGGCTTCTGTGCCATACCTTTTAACACAGCTTTCTTAAGCAGACTCTAGAGACAAGAGGTGCCAAGAGGACCAGCTTGCAACATCAGAGCCAGCTCTCTTAGTTTTACTTTGGGCCTGCTCATGAGAGCAAGGGACTTGCTCATGCTGGACAGAACCAGTACAGTGCTGGGAACTGCCATGTCATCTTCCCCCACCCACCGCAAACTGCCTAGAAATGGGCGACTCAAAGAGCCTGTAACGAGAGAAATTCCATCATTCACATCTGCACCAGGAACAATCCCTTTTGGAACTGCAGCGAGAGTCCCTCCCGCTCCCTTACCTGGCATTCCGGGCTCCACCCAGGCTGTAGGGGCTGTGGGGGCTGAAGGTCCTGCGGTAGGAGGGCCAGGGTAGGGGGGAGGAGGAGCCATATACAGGGGGTTCATGTCAGGAGGAGGTGGGTACATGCCTGTTGAAAGGAGAGAGATTCACACGGTGCTTTAAGTAATTCCTGTGGGACATAGCGCAGGCCTAGTTTGCAGGCCTGTTGCTTCTGTCCAGAGCGGATACACACAAGTCAAGGCAAGCCATCCAAGCTTAAACAGCAGCAGCTCCACAGCAGGATTTTATATGGCTGTAGCACCTTTGATCCCAGAGGGCTTTGCAGGCAACAATCACTCCCCGAATTTGCCAGCCATTCTCTGCCAGAAGGCGTTACCCAGCTTAGGATGTTGTATCCTTTATTTCCTGTCCCACTGGATCTCTAGGGAGACACAACAATACTCAAGCTGGATTTTACCAGGACACCCCAGCCCTTGCAAGGAAGTGCTTCAGTGACCCAGAGGAGTCAGGGCCCTTATAAGACTAACAATGCTGCTCAGAGAGAATGGACTGCTGCAATACAAGTCATCCCCCAGCTATGTTGGGGTCTTGTGTTCTTTACTCTGACACGGTCCTTTACAGCTCCCAGTACAGACAGCATGCGCACTCTGCCTCTCACACAACACTGGTATGTTACAAGACGTTGAAGCCTGTCGGAAGGCTTTACCTGGAGGTGGTGCGTAAGGGTATCCCATGGGTTGCGGAGCTGGTCCATATCCATTCATTGGTGGGGGCACATAAGGGTATGGTCCATTAGCTGGCTGGGGGGCAGGTGAATAACCTCCTGGAGCAGGGGTGCACCCCGTAAAGGCAGGCATATAGCCATAGCCAGTATTCTGGGCAGGAGCCCCTCTGGAAGCTAAAAAAAAATTAAGTTTAGCAAGTTTGACTCAGCACACTGCCATGCAATTAAAATGGAGCAGCAAAGAAAAGGAAGGAACGGTCATGAATTTAGTTTGATCTGTCACTGCAACAGAGCTATGAGCCACTGAGACCTGGAGTGACTGCTTTGCCTGAAACCCATCTAGCAATAATCTCTTCTTCTCCCACGTTCACACACTGCTTTGCTAGTTTGGATGCTGGGGAGCAGGGCTGGACCCTGAGCTCGGAACAGTTTATGGAGAGGACTCCGATTAACCCTGTTCTGCAAAAATCTACACAGATACTAGCCACTAAAGCTCCCCAAAACATCTCCACTAAAGAATGTGGTTTCATTTAAAAAAAGGTGGAATAACCCCACACATTTAAGAAGTTTTTCTGATCAGGAAAATCTCTAAAAAAAAGTTTTTCCTATTAAAATGAATTTTTTTGTTTAGATTTATCATCAATTTTTGGAAGTTTTTCTCCCTCCACTCTATTTTTAATACACTCTCTCCCCATTGGAGAGGGTTGGGTAAACAGTGTGAGAGTATAGTTCCCCCATACACCACTGCAGTCTCATTTTTTCCTACTTTTTCCAGTTGGAAGACAGAGGAGAAAAGATTTAACAAAAAAAAAAAAAAAAGGAATAGGGGGATCATTCCAAGAATTGGGAATATTAAGTTTTTCAGTTTCCAAAAACCAAAAGCATTAAGACCAACAATAGGGTGTAGAATGAAGACAAAAGTTCTCATGGAAAAGTCAAACTTTTTTGATTGAGAAGTTTAGAAGGGTTATTCGCTCTGCTCACCCCAAGAAGTTTACTGCAGCAAAAGTTAGTTAGCCAACTCTTCTAGCTAAAGAATAGTCAAGCCTCTGAAGGTTACTTACCATTAGTGGCAACTCTGAACATCAACTGTCCAAACTCAATGGCTCCTCCACTGTTGAAGGTCATTTTAAAGGAAGCCTGCCCTTCCCAACCCCCTAAAAGAGAAAGTGGGAAATACAAATGAAACCATTAAAATACTCTAAAAGATTAACACCAAGAACCTAGTTTGAATTTGAATACAGATTATTAGTTGATTTGTTTCCTAGAAGCTCCCAAGTTAAACAAGAGACCAAACAGGGTTTGGACAACTGCTGCAGACCTGCCAGCAGGAAGGCACCACCAGCTTTCTTCGCACTGGTCACTCAGCCCACTTGTATACAAGATAAATCTCAGGGAAACGAGGAGAAGGTTTGTCTGGGAATTTCCTTATTTTTTAAAAGGAGAGTATAAAACATGGACATGTAAAGGTTGCTGTAGATCTAGATTTTCTGCTAGTAGGCTAAGAGAGAATCCAATTACAAATACGACATAGAAAGGACACATTTTATTCAGCGGGAGCCTGCCCACTGAATAGGAGTCCTTCCACCAAACTAAATGGACTTTGAATCAGGGCCTGAAACTCAAGCCAGGATTGGAATCAAATATTCCATCAGCAGACTCTTTACCCTCTTTGAAGCATAGGAGCTTAGATAAAGATTACAAAGTTTTAGGCCTAACAGGAGTTTCTAGAAATTCATTAGCAAATGCTAAGACTCCAAGATAAATCACCCAAACTGTACAAAAAGGCAGGTTTCCTTATTGGAGGACAAGTAGATAAACAAAATTGGGAGTTTTTAAAGCAAGTTGTCAGATGGGAGATCAAAGTTTGAGTTTTAAAATGAAAAGCCCAGGTTCCAAAATCCCTTGTCTGATTAACTTCTTCCAAGAAAAGTTGTCAGGAGAGATTATGAGAAGTTTGGGGGTTTTCTGCACATTGTTAGAGGAGGAAAAAAAACCCATCAGGCATATAAATTGAAAGGAAGTGGCTGGTTCCACAACACACTTAGAAACACTGCATTGCTCAAATTTTATTCTTTCCTGTTGTCTTATCAGTAATAGTTTGGTAGTTAAGCTTGGGCAAGTTACCCAACCAATCAGCAACCCACCTCTATACTTCCCATCATGAAGCAACACCCCTAGCCAACAAGAAAGGCTGGGGTAGAGAGAAAGAATTTAAAGAAGTGACACAAACAAACTGGCATAGTAAAAAAGGCATCCAAGATCACTACAGTGTACGTGCAGAATAGATTATGCAGAAAGCTCTAGCTATTCAAGAGCCAGAGTGACCCAGATATGAGTCACCACTACTATAGCAGAATCTCCACAAAGAGTGATTTTATTGCCAGGAAAAGGTGAAGAAAGGTCTGCTTATCTCCAGAGACACGTGCTCACTTTGTACAGTCATGAATAGCAGCCAAGAAGATCAGCATCTGAAGTTGGTGAACCCATCACCCGCCTACCCTCTCCACCTCCCTCTCAAGCTGAGCCTACGAAGCAACTAACACACGCAGAAATTTAAAGATCGAAAATTGCTTGATCTTTAAATTTCTGCGTGTGTTAGTTGCTTCGTAGGCTCAGCTTGACATTTGGATCATATAACATTTGGATCATAGTTAAAAGTTTATACTGGACAAAAATATCCACTATGAGGCTTTTTTTGGCTTTCCACTAAACTTAGGACATGCCTATGTGAGGAAACTGACTGGCATATTTCACTATTACTATGCCGGTCAATTTCTCATGTGGACAAGCCCCGGGTTACAAATTCAGCAGAAGGGAAAAAGTACTTGGGAAACTCAGTTAAGCCTGCTTGGAGCTGCAACACATTAACACATACCTCCTGCCTCAGCCTGGATCACGCCTTTGATGTAATTGGCAGAGAAGACAGGCTGCTCGATGGAGCACCCTTTCACCAAGTAGAATGGCATCATGAAGGACATCAGGGGGTCCTTGCCTTTAGACACAAAGATCATCTGCAAGATAGAGGGACATTTTAAAGCTGTTAATTTACAGTCAGTCTTTATACCTAGAGTGAAAGAGGCTGTTTCAGAAGTGTTCAAACCAGACACTGCTTTAACAAGCTGGTAAAGAGAAACTAAAGCTCTGGAACAATTATACATGCAAGTTCCTATTCTACAGCTACATAGCAGTTTTCATCCCGAGAAATCCAAAATAACGTTATCATATATGTATGGCTCACACACCTGAAACGTGTGCAACTTCCATGGTAGCGTTCAGTTGACACCATGTAAATTAAGAAATATTTTCTCCCTTTAAAACCTCAAATTACTGCACTATTTTTGTGACACAGTATGCAGCACTGTGGCTTGAAGCTCCATTGCACTGAAGTGGACCAGAAGTTCTGGACTGCTTAGACATGTGGTCTTTCTGCCCAAATCTAACAGCCTGTTTGAATAGTAACTTAGCAGTTACTATGATCATTCTTAAATAAGGAAAGCCAGAGGCAGGGGATAGAAGAGCAGTGCCCTGGCCTAACATTCCCCCTCTCATTAAAAAGGTCTAATGTCACAGGCTACGTATAACTCACTGCTGCGTACAGAAAAGCTACACATTGAATCTTACACAGCTATTACACCCTTCCAGGATCTAACTCATTTGTGCGTCCAGGGCTTTGGCAGATTCAGTGAAGCATCTCTCGTTAAAGCTAAAGTCAAAACAGGACACTCAAACCAGATGAGCAGTGGCCGTCTACAGACGTACAAACCAAAAGCTGTGAATTCAGACCAGCTTAGTTCGTTTGGTGACCGTCTCTAGAGCAGCACAGGCTAAGTGAAGAATTCTAGAGTGCTGCTGCACCTGAAGACTGGATACAGTCCAAAGGGATGAGGAATACTTGTGGGCATGCAAAATTTTGCATGGGCCGCCTCATAAGCCACAGGACTGAACACAGGAAAGATTTACGGTCTGTCCTTCAAGCCAGTACAGAACTGACCCTTTTAGGAGGTTCTCCGGGGCTTTCCTAGTCCAGGTTTTTGGACTACACTGAACAGTTTCCCCTAGTCCTTTGTACGTTCACTCATCAAAACACTTGCAGAAGCATCACAGCCCCCCTTCAGTAATCCCTGGAACAGCAGGAGAGGGTTTTTTGCCCCCAGCTTTTAGCTTTCAAATGTTTACTAAGAAGAGGTTTCAATCAGGTTGGCCACTGTGCCTGTATGATAAGCCTTAACAGGGCAAAGCCTATGCCCATACAATGTACTCTAGGTCCCGTAAAAATCAACTCCTGTTCCAGTTTAAAAGCAGCATACATACATACATACAGCATACAGCAGCGAGAATTGAGAAGCCAAGTTAAACAGGGGTTGGTGTTCAGGACAGACAGAGGCTTTGGATGTGCATATGGGGGGTTTCTTGTTTAAACCACACACACACACTCTCCTCCCTGCCCCCCAGCAAGGATTCTGAAGGAGACTTTCAAAGGAAATAGTGGAAACCCCAGCGACTGACACTGAAAACAGGACAATGTAAAAGACACATGAAAACATACTGTGTAGAGAACAATCTGGAACGGGCCCTAGCTGGGAAAGGAGGCTGTGGAGAAAAGGACAAGCATGACCTGTTTCCACCACTCTCTCCCATCTTGAATTTGTAGCCTCCTCATAAGTAGGAGATTTATCCAGTCATTTACAAGTCTCTGGGACTAGAAGCCTGTGGGAGAACGCTGTTGGCTCAAGACTTACCCTGTAGGGGGTGAGGTATACCATTCCCTTCTTGGTGCCTTTGAAGATTTCAGCCTTGTCAGACACATCACTGAAGGAAAGCTCCACATCTTTACAATGCTTAAGAATACTGAGGAGGAGGAAGAGACAGAGAGACATCAGGGATGCACAGTATCAAACACAGTCCTAAAGCACATGCAATCAACATACGTTAGTTGGCATGCCAAGGAACAGGTCATTTCCCCGAAGGCTCTGTTCAGATATGGATCCCACCTTCTCTCTCTGCATATGCACGCACCGTTTATGCTACTCTCTCAATAAGTACAACACCAAACCCCACTCTGCCAAGGGAAGCCTCTAGCCTCAGGACAGTTTGCTTCTCCTTGCATTTCCAAAGCCACTTGAGACAGTTGTTGGGGAAACCATTCATTTCTCATTGAAAGAGACCGAGTACAAAAGGTCACAGCACAGAATAAGCACAACGGACCTCAATACTTCTTTCTGGAATAAGCGTGTTGCCTCAGAGCAAGTCCCTGTCTGACTAGTCCAGTATCCATATGTTGATGCTACACAGGAAAGCATAACCCCAATAATGCAACCCCAGTTGTGTCAACTGTACTAAAGAAGATGCTTCTTCATAGCTAAGCTAACTACAGATGCTGTCACTATTTCCTGTAAGTGACCGAGGACTATCAGCAAAGATTAGTGATAAAGAACAATGCATCCAGGGATAGGAGAATTGGGGAAACACTGTTCCTGGTGGTGGGATTTAAACTTATTCAATGATCTAGAACAGGGAGCCAACATGATAGTTAAGTTTGCTACAAACACTACCCTGTGAACACTAGCAATGACAGGAAATAATATAGAGGGATTTAGGGATAACAAATGTGAGTAGAAGATAAAGTCAGTTTGGGAAAATGTGGGGAAGTGATCCAAAACAGATAGATAATCAAAGAGAAGCAGAAATACTGACAGACTTAGGGAGTGACAAGTTTACAATGTATTATGCCAGAAAAAAAAAGTGCACTGCAATTCTGAGCAGCATACAGAGGCATCATAGATGAGGTGGTTACATCTGTATGGCCTCGATGAGACCATATTTCAAATGCTCTATTCAGTTTTAGGGACCCTGATACAGAAATATGGGTGAATTGGAAAACAGCAAAATTATTGAAAGGGAAAAATTAAAGGGACATGCTTCTGAAGAAAACTACTGAAAGCTAGATAACATTTAGTGGAACTATTTAAAGAGACACAGGATAACAATCCACAAGTACCTGAAAGGCGGAGTTGTCAAGGACGGAGGGCAATTTAGGGTATTACTGAAAATGTAATACTCTAGTCACAGTCCTGCAAGGCTGGGAGGGATAGACTGAATGACCTAATAGGTTCTCTCCAATTCTCAGATGCTATGGGGAGACAGTTCTTCGTAACTAGGGCAATTGCTCATGTCTAATCCAGTTCTGAATCCCACCAAACTTTGCCTCAGCTATATTCTATGGCAGCAAATTTTATAGGTCACTTTTACATTGTGCAAGAATAACTGTCATGTATCCAATTAAAAATGTGTCTTTATTAAAGAGCTTGTTTTAATCATACTTTATACATATGTAGGTAAACCCAGCACTTAATACTTTTAGTATACCAGTGCAGTGGTAATTACATTAAACCTACTGAACAATTTTACCTAGAAGTATAGCACTGTCACAGGAAGGGCTGGCCCCGTAGGGCAAATTGGCTTCACCCCACCTCTGACTAAGCTTTGTCCCAGGTAATGGGTTTGAGGTCAGAGATCAAGTGATATCTGTCAGGTCACCTGGCTCTTAGTTAAGAAGCCAACAAGTAGCAGGTACAGGGAAAGATCTGGAAAGGGGCCAGGGCCTGGTTTATTTAATTTATGTTGGAGTTTTTTTGTTTTGAGACATGACCCCAATCCTGAAGAAGAGAACTGAAATTCTGCTGCTGTTAGGAATTTATATACGGTTCAACAAGATCGCCCAACAGCTAACAAGGAAAACTACAGCCGGTCATATAACATTTGCCAAATATTACTTGACAAGTTTTACAGTTTTGAGCTTAATAATATTACTTATTATTTTTCTGTTATTCACCCATCCTAAGGGTAATTTAGTAATCTAGAAGGCAGTTCTCTTTCCCCCACTACTCCACTCAATGTCTTGTGCGTGTCCAGGATTTCAGAGCTACCGTCACGCAATTTAAGCAGATTGCTTCCTGACTTGCAGATCAGGTCCAGTGCTAGTAGCAGTACCATCCCCAGACACCTGGTTTGGATTTCACAAGTAAAGTTTCTTCCTGCTACAAGGAGGTGAGGAATTTGCTCTGCTCAGATCCAGCCGCTCCCCCGCCCCATCTTCAGAGACAGCATTTTGCTAGTTCCACCCCCTGCCTTAATTAGTTACTGTTTTGTCACCTACACTGCAAGGGACTGAACTTGTACCCTAATCAGTACCACCACCAAAGTCAATTACATCTCCCCAACAGGGACAGGCCAACATACAATTGTATTTGAAAGCAGACTGCTCACATACCACAATTTTGCACAGAGGCTGGTGACTTTTCACCAATGATACCGTTTGAAATACTAGAAGTAAACACCAAGCCTGAATAGTGAAACTAGACTAACCAGTTTCATGATTTTTAGCCATGTTTGGTTCCTTTTTCATGCACTAACCCAGTGCAGTTGTTTCAGGTCAGCCAGGGAACCAAACAAACCCCATGAGTCCATTGTTTTTAAATGGCACAAAATCATTGTATTTGTTTCAAGTTTGGGAAAACTCCCGCTTTTAAAATAAAAGGGGGGGGGGCTGAATTAGAATGACTATGTGCCTTTAGATTATACCAGAAGACCAGACATTGACCATCAGACAGGGCGCTTTGAGTGCCAAGCCACAGCTTCAAGCTCCGAGAACGTTTCAGATAGCACAGGAAGTACCACCATGGCCACTCTGGCCTACTGGCTCATTCCCACACTCTGAAACCCTTCAAGGGTTTCAGATTATCCCGGAGGGAAATGGGTTGCAATTGTTGTTCTAGGTCTGAAAGGACCTACTGCCGATGACATCTCTATGAGATAAACAGAAAGAGGGAGAGAAAAAACATTCTGTAGCTTGGGAAAGCCCAAGCACAATCAACAGGTGGAATAAACAATCTAATAAAAGGACCATGGGTGCAGCTTAATGTAAAAGATCAGTGTCTGTATAGGTGCTGCTTTATTTTCATGGTTCACCAATTGCGAATAATTGTGCCAAACCTTCATACAGAATCAGACCAGGAAAACACAGGGCTCGTCCAAATCGTTCCTCTCCAGCTCCCTATATATGAGAAGCAGTCTAGATGTATCTTTCGGGCTACCAGAAGAGCAGTATTTCTGTATTCTGCTTATGAGGCACCCTAATGAAGCGAGGAGGCCTGGGTGTTTGATCTGATTTTGGTGGTGGGTTGTTTTGGGCACAGTCCCATAAGAATACTATGGAATCTTTAATGGATATGAGCAGTCAGAGACTCAGAATTACATCTCATTTGGAAAAAGCAAAATAGGAGCTAGGAAGTCAGTACCTTCTCTATATAACTCAGTTTTTTAAAGCCAGTGCAGATTTGTGGACAGAGAATTATTCAGGTCGCAAACCAGAAGTACATTTAATATTTAAAAGTATGTTTATCAGAGTAATTTACTGCAGTCTTTTCAGAAAGTGACTACTTCCCTATCTGCAACCTGAGCATATTTAATTCAGACCTCAGCACACACCAAAACCCATGCAGATGCTGCTAATGACCTAGTATTGCACAGTGTTAATGAAAGTACATGTAAGGCCTTGTGATGTAGCTCAGTCACTAATCTGCTGACAAGCTGCAGCTCATGTGACTTCGGATTCACTCGTATGCATTTCCTCTAGGGTTGTCACGCCCATTACTAGCGAGCAACAGCTTTCAGAACAAACAAACTCCCCTGCTGCCAACTTGGGAGCTGGTCAGAGAGCACAGGGACGCAGAAGTCAAGGAAACACTATGGAGAGAAGAAAAGCCCCTTAAAGAGAGCGGGCTAAAGGAAGCTGGGTTGATCTGGGCAATGATCTAATCAGGGCTCATCTCCCAGGGGCCTCGGGGCAGTTCCCCCAAAGAGCTGGGCAGCGCCATAGACCCACCCTCCCCGCCTCAGCCTCCTCTCTGCCGGACACACCTACTTTCCCCACCAACGTGTTAGTTACTCTGAAGCCGGTCACCTCTGGCAGCTGCTTTTAAGAAATGAAATTAGACGCGGATTAATCCGCGACAGCCAGTGTCGCGGGCCGGGCTGCCTCAGCCGGCCCAAAGCGGGAGACCCGGGGCCGGAGCCGCCGCAGCGCCAGCAACGTAAACAAACGAAGGGCCGCAAGGCCTGCGCCGGGGGCGGGCCGGGAGAAGGCCCGGCCCGGGACATCGGATCCTCCCGCCACGGGCCGGGGCCAGTGACCGGACCGGGCGGGCCGCGGCTCGGGGCCGGGCGAAGCGCTCTGCGGGCAGGGCAAGGGCAGGGGCCGGGCCAGGCCAGGCCGGGCCGGGGATCTGGCTCAGCTCGGGCCGGGCCCGCCTCAGCCTCGGAGGGGTCCCCCCGCGCCCGGCCTCGCGCCCCGGTACCTCTCCCCAGGGGGGGCGATGACCCCGCCGCCCTGCGAGTGGTTCCTGTTCAGCGCCATCTTCCCGGCCAATGGCAGCGAACGCCCCCCACCCCCCGCCTTATTCCGCGGCCCCGCCCCGTGACCTCATCGCGCACGGCCCCGCCCGTGACCTCATCGCGCACGGCCCCGGCCGCGAGGACTCGGGACAGAGGCGGGGCCGGAGGGAGTCGCAGGAGCGGGCAGCGAGAGCGAGCGACAGGAGGGTGGCTGGACAGATGGGGCGGATGATGGACGGGCAGAGCGGGGTGGACAGACAGAAGGACGGAGAGATCAATGGGTGGATGGGCAGACAGAAGGACAGAGGGATGGGTGGATGGACAGAGGGGCGGGTAGGCGGACAGAGAGGAGCAGAGAGAGGGGCGGAGGGATGGATGGACAGGCAGAAGGATGAGAGGGATGGGCGATGGACAGACAGGGGGACGGAAGGATGGGTCTTTTCCAGTTTTATAGTGCTGTGACAAAGCTGTATCTGAATGGCTCATTTATGCATCTGCATTCTGTAAGCTAAAATGGTTTTGAAATATGCCTTCTGTCTCTTACTTGTAAGCTTTTTAATCAAAGAGCTGTCTGCTCTTGAGGTTAGTGAAAGCCACATTTTTGTTTGCTTGTTTCTCATTGGTCTAGAAGGGCCAGTTTGATAACCTGTTAATAAAAGGCCAACTCAAAGAGGTAGGAGAATATTAACCTGATGGGAAAGGACAAATGAGAAGAAAAATAGCGTAATGCAGGTTGAGGGTAAGCAGAAGGACGAGGCCACTGAACCAGATTCCAAGTGGTTTCACCTTGCTAATATGGTTTTTTAAGGCAATGTAATGTGCAGACCACCAGCTTAATTCAGAATCGCAGCAGGTGCCCTTTGGGAGAACCAAAGTGAGGTATTCCTTACAAAGGGGTAGAGGAGCTCTAGTTCCCCATAGACCTTCCGTGGGACATTTGGCAGACTGAAAAACAGAGGCAACTTTGCTGTTGCTTACACCAAAAGCTCTTCTACCATGTACAGTTTTTCATGTATCAAACCCAATATTCTGTAACCTAAGGTTTGGGCCAGCTTTCTCATAGTAGCTGTGCAGATGAGTGCAGATTTTACTTATCCTTTGATGGTTTCTTATCTTGGGTTCAATAATTTGCCAATAAAATCTATTTTTAGTTGTAAGTAGTGTAAGTGGGTCTTGAATACTATTCCGCGGGGATAATCACCTCCGAGAGACTCTGACTTCTGACTAACAGGGAGGTAGGGACACAAACCCTAAAAGCCGGAGTTCAAGGTCTCGGGCACAGTGGCTATTGGGTTCCCCAACTGCCTGAGCAGTTGGCGTGGTCCCACATGGTACAGGGAGAACCAAATCAGCCAAAGGATGGTAAATCTAGTTATAATAGCAAGTTAGATGTAGTCCCCACACTCTAGCAAGATATTACTGTGACCCTTGACGTTGAAAGCTTGGATGCCCTGACCAATCTGTAAGGTGTCTGAAGTGACTCCACTTCTGAATGACAGCAGCCACCCGAAGGCTTAGTGCACATTAACGAACACACTTTCACTTCACACCTTTAGTTAATTTATAGACTCATGGATTTTAAAGCCAGAAGGGATCACTGTGATTATCTAGGCTGACCTCCTGCACATCGCAGGCCACAGAACCTCACCCACCCACTCCTGTGATACACCCCTAACCTCTGGCTGAGTTACTGAAGTCCTCAAATCATGATTTAAAGATTTCAAGTTATATAGAGACTCCACCATTTACTTCAGTTTAAACCTGCAAGTGACCATGCCCCATGCTGCAGAGGAAGGCAGAAAAAACCCAGGGTCCATAGGCGTCGACTCCGTGGGTGCTCCGGGGTTTGAGCAAGCATGGAGGGAAAATGGTGGGTGCTGAGCACCTACCAGCAGCCCCCCTATCTATCAGCTCCTGCCCAGCGCCTCCCGCCCACTGGCAGCCCCGCGGATCAGCGCCTCCCGCTCCCTCCCTGCGCCTCCCGCCCATCACAAACAGCTGTTTTGCCGCCTGCAGGGAGGCTGGGAGGGAGGGGGAAGGAGCAGGGATGTGGTGCGCTCTGGGGAGGGAGTGGAACTGGGCAGGAACTTAAGAGACGGGGCAGGAAGAGGCAAGGCAGGGGTGGGGTGGGAGCAGGCAGGGGTGGGGCCTTAGGGGAAGGGGTGGAGTGGGGGCAGAGACAGGGGTTGAGCACCCCCAGGCAGTTTGAAAAGTCGGTGTCTCTGCCAGGGTCTCTGCCAATCTGACCCCGGGGGGAAATTCCTTCCTGACTCCAAATATGGTGATCAGACACTGAGAATGTGGGTGAGACCAGCCAGCCAGACATATGGAAAAGAATTCTCTGTAGTAACTCAGAGGCCTCCCCGTCTAGTGGCCCATCTCTGGCTGTAGAGGACATTTGCCGTTGTAGACCATCACATCATACCATCCCCTCCATAAAAAGCTGTTCAGTACAGCCCTCCTGCTAGTTAGGGGCTCTGCAGAGACCTCAGGTCACTCCTTCCAGGCCAATGACACAAGAACTGCTTATAATGGCGTGGGAAAAGGATTCTCCGACTGTCCTAAAATTCAGAAGGCAGTCCTCAATCTATGGCTCTGCCCCACGCACCTGTGCGCCTAGCTTTCATGACAGTTCCAGATTTCCAATTGTATGTAGGCAGAGGTTAAATTCAATCCCCCTCTGTCACCCAGAATTCCAGTTCTGTGAGCAGATCCGATTCATCTCCACCAGTTCCCTGCCTGGGAGGACCCTGGCTTGTGCAGGTTTAGGCCAGACCTTGAATTGAGAAGAAGCTTGGAGGGGATCTTCTAGAAGGGCTGATTCCGTCTAGCCTTCCTACGTCAAGCTCTGGTCTTCATGACATCACCAGATTTCAGAAAAGCGTCCAAACACTGATGGGAGTTGAGAGAAGAGCAACCCCAATCATTAAAGAGGCTGGCATGTTGACTTGTGAAGAAAGAGAAAGAGAAATATTTAGTGTTGCTAAATGACAACTGAGAGACTGTTGGAAGCGTGTAAACACCAAGCAGTGAGAAGAATAGTTCAGGATGTTTTAGGGGAGTATACGTAGGAATAATAGGGGTTACCACTTTAATATATAACACAGCCTCTAGTTGGAAACTCTCCTGCATGAGCAGATTATCTAATAGGTCTTCTCTGTCTCTGAGTGCTATAATTTAAAGGAAGCAAAGGAATATCCCAGCCAAATATCAAGGAACTTTGCCTGGTCTATTAGACAATGAAATGTTCTCCCAAGAGAAGTGGGGGAAGTCTCATCACTGGAGTGATTAAAATCAGATTGGACAAAGTCCAGGATAATATACAAAATATAGGGAATCAGTCAGCACTGGAGGGGGGACTGGGAGGCAGCAAGCAAGATGTGACCTAACCACTCTTTTCCAGATCTTATTTTTTATTATTCCGGTTACCTGGACAGGCCCCTGCCTGTAGATGCAGGATTGGGCTACACAAGGATAGTTCCAGACGGATATTGCATGGGATTGGGGCAACTCTAACTGTAGAGGGGAGGGCAAAAGTGTAAAAAAAAAAAACAAATAAGACAGGCACTTGTTCAAATGGCGACATTTTGTTTAATCATACAACACAGATAGAAAGTTAAGTCTAGCGACATTTACACCACAAGTTTGTGTGATTTCGTTCTTGCTCGATCAGCACTGGACTGATACAAGAAGACTCCATCGTGATACGGGGACGGGTGTGCCAGGAACCCGGTTTCATTTGCTTGTTCATGCTTCCATTTCTTGCTCTTCCATCTCTCAAGTAAAATTAACTGTCTGCCACTGCACTTGCTTCCAAAAGAAAGAAGTGGGGTCTAGATTTCTGAAAACCTGTGGGTGCGTCTTGAATGGCTGATGGTGGCACAGTACTTCCAGAACCAAGGCAGGAGTCAGCATTTATTTCTTTTCGCTCTCTGCCCTGTAAGCCTTGGTGCCCTGGAGCTGCCATCCAGATTCATAAGTAACGTCAAAGGGGAGAAGGGGAGTAGATGTCCCCTGATTGTTAAGGGACTTTTTTCGTTCTTCTTTGTAGAGTTCTGTAATAAGGTACATCAGATTTTGGGATGCACCAAATGATTTTCAGGTTGGCAGTGGGGAGAAAGGAAAACTCGGGGTGCTTTGTCACCCACTATTAGTTGAAATACGTTGTGCGGGAACTTCCAGCTTTAATAGTGGAGTCACCTGTTTTGTTGCTGGGCATCACCAATCCATCCACTGCATTGCACTGGCATTTGCTCTGAAATCAGTAGCCCTATATCTTTCTTAAGCTCAGGGGTACTGCATGGGAAGGTGCTGCATAAAGGATATGGGGGCTGGAAAGGGGAGAGAGGGTGGGCAAGACAGCCAACATCAGAGGGGCATGCTCAGAGGTTGGCCCATGTTTTGGGGGAAGAAATAACCTGTTCAGAAGTCACCCTGGGTTCCTTATTGTTTGTTCAAACAACAAGTGGTTTGTTCAAGGTACAGGATGTTCCCCACCCTTGGTTTTTAAAAGCACATGGTGATGGGGGAGGCAGCATAGCTGTGGTTCTCAGGAGGCGTGAATTCTATTCACAGCTGTGCCCCTGATTTGCTGGGTGATTTTAGGCAAGTTGTGTAACCTCTTTGCCTCAGTTTACATCTGTAAAATGGGAGTAATTGTTACCCACTTTTGTAAAGTGCTTTGAGATCTCTGGATAAAAAGCACTACAAACTTACAAAGTGTGGTTATTGTAATTAATTATTAGAAATAATTATTCATTAAATAATGTGTTTTCTCCGGGGAAGAACTTACTGCAACTGATCTGCATCAGCCTCTGATGTTTCCAGTGAGGTTCAAAATTTTCACAGTTGTATTTACTGATAGACAATGTTAAGTGTCGTTGGGGGG